TCGCTGCCACAACAGAACTGTGACACTAAACTAACAGAACGGGTACACACCATAATGAGGTGACTGGAGCAACATTTTACTGTATAATTTATATGTTGACCTCACTAGATGTGGAGGTGAGAAATGGGTCACAGCAATACAACAACTGCTATCTATGTATAACCCAACTCTGCAGGAGGTAGAAGCTGTCTGTTGTAGGCGTCTCACCATCCACCTGGGCCACTTGGCATTGATGATCACTTACTTTGTTGTGTTTGCTACTGTAATACTGTTTGGCAGGTTTGACATTACTGTGATGAGATCAAGTTGCATATATAACATTGAAGGACTCATCCATGCCTTAACAAACTTACACAGATTGTTACTGCATAATTATCATTATCTCGCTCATTTATAACACACTTGGTATAAAGTGCTGCAGGCATGATGTATGCATTTTTATTTTTGTATGCCAACCTTGAAGTTGGCATCATCCTGGTTCCTTCGACAAAAAGCAAATGGGATTTTCCCACTGGATTTTGGATTGTTGCAGAAAATAAGCTCTGTGGCAAACAACTTTTTATAATTTCATGTTTTGTTCAGCAAGATAATCTTCACAAATAAACACCACTTGGTATGCAATGGCCAGAAAAAAAAACGGCTTCAACGTCACCACCACTAAACTTCCAACTTGCAATTAAATTGTGTAATTAAAATGTACAAGCAGCAAAATTTGAAGTTTTCAAAAGCACGAGTACAAACACAACAAGGCTGTAAAAGGACAACTGGTGAGTATATAAGTCTCTGTGTTCAGGGTGCTGATGTTTAATGTCACTCTTAGCCACTTGTTAGCATCTGCCTTTTCTAAGTAAAACCTTAAAATCCACATGTGGGGTATTTACTGACATATTTTAGGTCGTAAAACAAAATGTGAAAATCTCTTAGGCTTGTGTTAACCACAGACCTTATTTCAGGCAACTAACCAAACCCCCAATCAAAAAAAAAAACCAAAAAAACATTAACTCCGTGGCGAAGGAACTGGAAGTGCTAAAATGCTAACTTGGTTCTGGGTTTTAGGACTCATTCCTGCAGCACTACAGAGCTGGATGTACAAGGGAGGCCATAATAAGACTGCTGCTACATTTGGAGACATCTCTCATTATGTATTACAAAACAAAACTGCACAAACCCCACCGAATGATATGAAGAAGTCACAGTGACTCTAACAGCAAGCCTAAATGATCAGGTGACTGATAAAAGTGAAAAACATGAAAATAAAACTATATTGATAATCAGACTCTCATGTGACCCGGAACAACCTTGATGTCTTTTCTTCCTTTTGTACATTAACGGGACCTACGGGGCTACAGCAATCACTTCTCAGGGGAGGAAGCTAATAACAAGGACAGAAGCCAGATTGCTGTAAATGGTGTGTGTGTATATGTGTGTGCGCTTGACATGATTGACTATTGATTGATAGAAGAGACCAAGCCACTTGAGATACCTGAGGAAGTGAGAGAGAGAGAGAGAGAGAGAGAGAGAGAGAGAGAGAGAGAGAGAGAGAGAGAGAGAGAGAGAGAGAGAGAGAGAGAATCAATCAATATAGATGTAGAAGATTTAGTACGCAGAGGGGGACGATGGGATGTGAGAACTCTGGGAACAAACCCTCCAAGGACCCTGTCACTCTGTCTGCTTTACTAGTAGTCAATATCCCATTACAGTACCCGCAAGAATCTTCTGCGTTATGTCCGAGATACACTGGCACCAGTATTTCATTGTACTGCAGACTTCTGAGCTCTTCTGTTTTCTGGCAGTTTGGCCTTTTCAACCATTTTATAGACATTTCACATTTAAATAAAGGCGCATGTGTTCATGCTGCTGGGTGGTGGGGTAAGAGTCGATGTGCTTCAGTTCAGTTTCCGTACCTGCTGTCTAGAAAATGAACTAATGCTCTAAAATGCAGGATATATTTAAGATACTGTATTCCTCTTTAGGAACACATGCAGTACATACTGTATTGTGATGTACTGTAGATTACTTATATTTGGTACACCTGTGCAATCTAATGCAACACAACACAAAAGCCCTTATTTAATCCTGTCTTTGTGAAGTTTAACAGGCTATGTTTTTGGAGAGGATACAATAAGCAGTGTTCATTCAATTCTAGGGTATTCTTTCTTTATTATTAGTGGTGAGGTTACATAGTATTTGAATATACTGAGTGGTGTTTCTAATCCCCTGCTCTTGTCAGGTATGTATTTCCTATCAATGTCTAGGGCAAACATGTCAAATGCTTAAAACAAATCCTTCCTGGTCTTTTGAGGCAAATTATTAAAGTAAACCCAGGCGACACTCATCAAACATTATTTGTCGATATCAATCAATGCCCTTATCTGTCACACATTCTATGATATGGAAAAGCCTAATTAGTACTATTTAGTTGAACAAAGTCTCTCCTGAGGATTTCAAGCTGTCACAGGCTGTGAGCATTTCAAAGCTTAGTATTCATCAGCAGTCTTCACAAAGCTTTAAACTAAAAGTACTAAAGGAGTCACACAGACAAAGAGGGTGAAACAAACCCTGGACAGCAGTCCGAGGATGTACTCTTATTTCAGCCTGACAGCCTGCAATGTAAACTACGAGTCCTTATCAGAGGGTTTGGGAAATATCAGGGTTACTAACACTAGTGTATGGAATTAAAACATTTCAGTATTACACAAATATTCAAGTGCATCTAAACACAGCTAATGCTGGAGCTGGTTAGCCTATTCCATTTCAGTGTCATCCTTACTAACTGTGTTTATTATAGAGGTGTCACAACCAACAATGGTACAATACAGGCACCAAGTAACAATACACACATACTACACACACACACACACACACACACACACTAAATTGCCCATGAGGATGCTTCCTTTCAGCCACTTTAACCAGTAAATGTATTCAGAGAGCAGCCACAGGAGGAGTTCCACTTCAAAAGCCTCAACACACACAAATACACACGTCCATGTACACAAGCATGCGTGTGCGCTGACACACACACACACACACACACACACACACACACACACACACACACACACACACACACACACACACACACACACACACACACACACTCCCACAGCTCCACCTACTCACTGCTGAAGTTGATTACAGCAGGCTGTGACTCAGTGGGAGGGGGGTCATGGATGGATGACTTTGTGTTTTCAGTTGTTGTGACTCCAGAGAACCACAACAGTACAGTACAGTGAAGCCGCACCAAAACTTCTAGAGAATGTATTTTCATTCAACATTATTGAATTTTGACAGCTGATATTACAGTTGCCCAACAACAGCAAAATGGCCACGCTAGAACAGGTGTCTGAAAATAAAGGTAGAGAAGTGTGCCTTATGTTTTGAAACTTGTAAGACCCCAGCGCTTGCACAAACACTTTCGTATTTGTTATTAATCATCATCATCATCATCTTGCGTCATCTCTAACAGGTGTAGAGCCGCACATAGTAAGGGAAGTGTAGTTCTTAGTGACTAAAAGTTGCAGTTAAAAAGTCTATTAATGCACTTCTGTATGCATGAACACATTTTGAGTGTGTAACCAAAGCTAAATCACCAGCAGTAATTCATCCAATTCATACTGTTTCTATTCAACCAAAGCCATAAAGCTTTGAACGAATCTGGGTTTCTGACACCAAAAATGAAGACCATGTTGTATTTACTTCATGAAAGGCTCCACATTGACACTCTCCTCCTACACCTGAGACTATTGACTCATCTAAACAATCGTAACCTCGACCACAAACCAGCAACCATTTCATGCACACTCACATTTGCCTCAGACACACTTTTTGGCATCTAATGGGGTCATTTGGCAACCATTATCGTGCACTGCTGGGTAGACCTGCAATGCATCATGGGAAAGGGTATTTGCAATGCGCCCAAGGTCAAATATTGTACTTTAAAATGCTTTCAGCTAGCCTCAACTCAGCCTCAACTAACAACTATTTCCCCGGTCAGCAGGCTCCCTGTAGAGTTCCATTGGTTCGGTTGGCAATTTAGGAAAGTAATTACTGTAAGCACAACACTGAGAACATCAGTTTCTCCACACTTTTTAACACTGCCTGATGTACTGATAAAGAACTGAATAGAAGTTTCGAATAGTGGATACACAAGATAGAAATGAATGGGAGAGGGCAAATGGGGAGAGATAGAGGTAATAAGTTACAATCAATTAGCCAGGGTGCCTATCTTTAGAGACATCTTGATTATCTGTTTTCCTAAGAGAAAGGCTGGCTAAAAACTCTTTACTGTTCGTAAAAAGACACACACAAACTCACATCCATGCATGCAGACGTATACACATACATACATGATCACTCACACACGATATACATATTGCCAAGAAAAGACCAGTGAGTGAGTGTGGGAATTCCGGTTTAGTTTGCTGATTTGACTTACAAATTGTAGAGCCTGCTCTCTACTGCAGAGGCAGATAATTAAATAGTCGTGCTGGAACAAGTGCTTTAAAAAAATAAAAATAAATAAATAAAATACATTTTATGCACCAGTTCCATGCATACAGCTCTTGAATATAACGTCACATCCATTCTCAGCTCAGAAAAGCTGCTGCTCACTCTTTGTCTTCAGCCCACTCTACCAGAGTAAAGCCCTCTCAGCTGAATATAACATAATTCCACCTACAAAAAGCAAGTAGTTTGCATAGGGCTTCACTGAAAGCTGCAGAGGGAAATATCGTTTGTGCAGCAGGTGTACAACAACTTGTCCGCATACATCTTCTATGCGGGTTATCAACAGAAGCAAGGTTATGAATACGAGTATGGAGACTATAATCACATCTGGCACACTGCAAGGAGGCTTCACGGGTGAATCACCTGCATGCCAACGACTAAAGTCACTGTTTGCACTAAATGTATGTTTGATGATGAAACAGAATTAAAAGTAAGAATAGCCTTGAATGTGTCACTAATTGTCTTGACTCCTCAAGGCAGTGAAACTTCACCTTGTCTCTCAAATGGTGTTCTGCTGCATCAATGTTCAACGGGTCATCAAAGTTCAACAGGTCCTGGAGAAGAGGAAGAGAGAGACAAGAACACTGAGAAAAAAAAAGGTACAAAGATAAAAGACAAAAACAGTAAAGAAACACGAGGAGTCATCTTATTAGAGAACTTTTCAGGGTTTAATACTTCTGTCTGCGGGTAGAATTTTGTAGCTGCTGAGGAAGTTATTGCCCACTTCAGCACTATTTGCTGTCTGCAATGTCACCCTGGATTCTGCAACTTCGACAAACAAGATGGCATAATTATTCTGTAGCCTTGGAGATGCCATGCACAACATGTGAGGCAAGAATCCGAGTGCTATTAAAGAGATAAAAGGGAGGATGGCCTGAGAGGTTGTTTCCTGATTAAGAGGTAAGATTTAGGGCATGACCATGCATCAGTGCAGATTACCACCACCATTATCATCATAGACGCAGTGCTGACCTCGGGGTAAGTGTGGATGCATTCAAAATGTAATCGATGATGGATTTATGCAAGATTGCAATTAGCAATGCTTTGGACTAAACTACATAATCTGATTACTTTCAGCTGCTTATTGCAGCTTGCTTTGACATCCAAAATGTTTTAAATAATCTGTTGAAAAACTATTAAAAAAATTATTTTTAAAAGGATGCTTTCATCTTTTTTTTTAGCCTATTTGAATATTCTTTTAAACGATTAAACTTTATTTTCTGAAGAATTTGTAACGAATTACTGTTGAACTATGAGTATGCTTTCAAGACACGGCACAAGGAGACCTCTGGAAGAAGCTGTGGATGCATTTCCACCAGCAAAATGTGTAATCACATTTTGTTGTTTTTATTGCCATATCATTTATGTGTTCTTCATAAGGAGAAAGATTATTCTCCCAGATTAAAAAATTTGGTTTCACAGCTGTTAAGAGAGATAAACACTGGCCTTGGATACTCTGATCTGAGTTTGGACAAATGTCATTGGCACAACCGACATACAGTAAGCAACTTAAAAAATTTATTTCTCAATAGTGTAGATTTATTTGCTCCGAGGGAACCAACGTTGAGTTAAGAACTGTGACTCAGTTCAATCTTTTCAGTTAAAGGAGGGAAACAACTGATTTTAGGGAGAACTGTGTGTACAAACATAAGTTGTTTGGTCATTTGGTCATGTACTGGTCATTTAATCAAAATATATATTCTAAATATATAATCTAGTTTAGTTTCTAACACCATATCCAAGTTGATTAAGTAAAAACAAATAAAACTTACAGTAAACAAGGAGTTCAATCCCCAGACCACATCCTAGAAAAAACAAATGAAAAGAAATGAATGATCAAATAGTCAAATTGTATCACATTTGAATATAAATTAAAACATACACTCGAGTTACAAGTGAAATACATTCTGTTTAGTCTAAAGATTAAAAGATCTGTTCTAAAAAAAAAAAAAAAAGATAATAATAATAACAACAATAAGCAAAACATGGTTATAAGTGTGACATTTGGTTACTGCACGTCTTTTTAGTCAGTTTTACAATATGTAAACTTCTGGACGCTGTTCCGTAACTTAGCAGCCGTATATTCAAATGCTGATCATATGAGGAAAAAATACACTGACATAGTGTTAACTCTCATTTGTACCGTCCCATCACTCATCTCATTGGAACATTATTAGGCTACCAGGAGACCAGCGGCCCAACAATGTTTCCTTAACACCAGGGCATAGAGCCACTGCAGAGGGGGTGTGGATGACCAGGAGAAAAATATAGTGAAACTAGATTCCAGGAATGTAATGAATGTATGAAAAATAAGCAAACAAGAGTGCGCTGATGCTATCATGCTAGCCTTTATTCACTAAAATTAAACTTTTTTTTTATTAGCTGCTTGCCCGATCATTGGTAGTGATTGATACAAAATGATGGGGTGGTAGTACGTGAACTTTTTTTTGGCTTCTCAAGGAGGGCACGCCAGAAAAAGTTTGAGAACCACTGCTTAATACTCATGAACGTTCAATTTTACAGTTATGAAATTGAACCACAGCTACAATACAAAGTGAATGCAATTGCAATAAATACTATATATTCATACATCAACCTAATTAAGCTTGACTGTCGCAAAGCAAATTCATTAAAAGCAAGCTCTTAGTGGCAGCTACTCTTCCTGGTTTCCACAAGCAACAAAACATGTATCACATGCATAAAGTCTCAAAGAAACCACACACAGACAAGTAAAGTAAGTATAGTAACAACCATATACAGTAAACATTTCCCCCTGCAAGTCCCCTTGAGACAAAGCAGTAGCACAGCAGTACAACAAAAGATGCAAGTCCACAATCCTCAAATCCCTGAACCTCCTGACAGCAGGACACATGGGACTCTTTAATGGACATGCAGGGTATGACTACAGTAGGTTTGACAGTAGCTAGAGACTGCACGGTTCTGTGTATGGAAAAGGACAGACAGCATCATAATTGCATTTCATCACTGCAGCTTTCGACTTTCATTATCCCACTCTTTCTGCTTACAGGAACAGTCAAGTGAAATCCAACTGAGAACAGCAGAGACACAGTGACAGTAACAATGGAAGACATCACACAAGACCAACTAAAAAAGGGAAGCTTTAGGTCACTGGGTGCCGCTGCTTTCAGGGCTTCCTTTCAATTATATTTCAATCATTCCACACACACATATATTTATCCCATTCAAATAATGAAACAGAGCTTTGAACCTTGAATATTTAAATAAACAAGCAATTAGTGAACGATTGTTTTTCCTGAAAAAAACCTGAACTGACCACAAAGAACAAGTTCTTGTTTTTTCTCCATCATCATCTCCTCTGTATCATAGTACACACTAACAGGTTTACCAGACCCAGTAACTGAACATCATTGTGTTATTTTATTCCTGGTCAGCTAAAGCCAAACTATTACCAGCTATTATTACAGCTAGCTTTTTATTATATGGCTAAAGGCAGCACGGTAAACTCTTTTACAAACTTAATATGATTTATTTCCCAGGATGAGAGATTCAGTGCTGGTATATTCACTGCAGTTTGTGAGTTTGCTGTTAGCATATAATCGCAATAATATTAAAGATGGTGACATTCAAAACAAAGACAACACAAACCCTGATTGCACTAAACATTGAAAAAAGTATGTAGAACTGGCTCTGGCCTATAGCAATAATTATAAAAAAGGAGATGTTTGTTTCCTAGATTCCCCAGTCATTAAAAGACCTCCCATCCATCAGTCATGTACAAACAGTAGTCTAACTCATTAAATATTTTTGTTTGTGTTAACTGGAGTACATAATAATGATGTGTCCCAAATCCACACAACAAACTTATTTGATACACTATGTATTACAGACTAATCATCAAAGCACACTGCTCCTCCATTTTCTTTGTGCATTGGGGGAGAAAAATGTGCATAAACTCAAAAACCGGCTGTATTTGGATTGCATGCTATCTGGTTTGAGCATACTTTATGCACATTTCCAGTGTGAACACACGACATACTAAAAATCTGCTGAGAATCAGTATGTTGTGTGGATGTGCAGCACATTTATTTCTCTGCAGGAATGATTTCAGATAGTGTGGCCAGCAAGGAATATTTTGAATCAGTGGCTGTGGCTCCTGGTTACCTCTGATTCTACCAGCCTAGAGAGCAAATTATACCTTAAAAAAAGGGAATGGTTACGACATGATTATTTGCAAATTAGAATCAAATTTTTCTTTATTGTCCCAGACCGGATAATCAGAATTTAAATCCGCTCCAATTCCCATTTCTCTTCAAGGATCTGTCTGTTCCTTTGAAAACAGGTGTATAATTAAGGGAACTCAGGTACCCGTAGCTCTGGTATTGTTGTAGTTTCTGTGGTTGCCATGGTCACACGGCGAGGTGCATTGTGAAGTTGAAAAAGCTAAACCACCATAAACTTTGGATGCTGTGGCACTGCTGTGTGCTTTCACAGAAACAGCTGGCGCCCTCCTTCTCCTCACCGTTGCCATCAACCTCAGGGGTACGGCTGCTGTTGCGTCTACATCGTAAACAATTGAGGAAGCGACAGTGGCAACAGCTTGCTGTCTGAAAGCACCTTAATAGCTAAGGCGCATACTACATAAGTGCAGCATCCTTGAATCGATTCCAGCTGCAGTCCCCTGTTGCAAACCCACCACACAGTGCTTAGCAAATTTACATTGTGCTGAATTTACAATATAAGCCATTATTGAATAATAAGAAAAAGTATTTTATTTATTTATTTTATGTGACATTGCGTGTGTGTGTGTGTGGGCTGAAGTGGAGAAGAGTGGTGACCAGTGAAGAGGGACATCATCACCCACTCAAAAACTAACACAATCCTTTCTGACTCACAGCTTTTACTTCTTTTTTATTTTTTGCTAACTCCTAAACATAATTAAAATTTAAGTAAACAATATTATTAAAGGACAACACCAATAAGAAAATCCAACCACATCTGTAAGTAGATTTCCTTCAGGGGTGAACTCAACATGGCTAAAGAAAATAATATGTCAGCCTATGCTTGGTTTCAAGTTGCTTCCTTTCACAGTCATTGGGTTTTGTGCACTAATTAGATTTTCAGTGACATTGCCATGCTAAAAGTTGCAGAAATCTGAAAAACAACTGTACATAGTATGATCGTTTGATTTAAACTATTGGTTCGCCTGAACAGTCTATCTGTTCAAGGTGCAGAACTGCTCTGTTGCAGTGGAAAATGATATACTGTTTTTGTCATTTTATCGACTGGTAAGAGAAGTCCAAAGCTTGACAGTTGAGAAGTCCACATACATATATATATATATATATATATATACATAGCCTAAGCTCAATTCCAACACACCAATGAAGTTAAAATGTACCCAGAATTTTGTGTTGTTAAAGGTGGTAACTTCCAGTAACAATTATACATTGTAAGTGATTTAAAATCAACTATGAAGGTGGGCAAGTTCAAAGTGTGAAAGTGTGCCCCATTTCTGGAAGCATCACCCTGCTAGCTGTTGACTTTTATCTCAATTTCACAGTGAGCAGACACGGCAGCTTTAATTCATGTATCTGTATAGTTAAAGATTGCACAAATGCATTCAGAGCATTAACATAAAAGCTACAATGCCACAGAGTATGTTTTTTAAGCCTGACTATGTGCTCAATAGTTAAAACTGCTACTATGAACACAAACACACACAAAGATAAGCACTCGGGCTGCATGCAAAGCCGATTTCCTTGCAACTTAAGTATTCAAAACAACAAGAATACACAACTGAGACTGGAGACGCAGGTACATAAAGACAAGGCTGCTGTGCTGGAGAAGCTCCACTGGTGGATTAAAGTAAGAGAGAGGAAATACTAGAAAAGGGCAGCAGTATGTGATATGTGAACAGTATGTACAGTCACCCATGAAAGTAATCAAATACAGGAAAATGAAATACAAGACTGTGCATGTCTGTTTACTGCATGTGCACTGTATCTACGTTTATATGCCACTCTCATTGTACAGCTGATGAAATTGCATATATGCCTGTCACAACCCACCGCTACACTGGCTGCATATGATGTATAAATGGAAAAAAAAAAAAAAAAAGATAGAGATTGCAGACATACAGTACTTTACAGCAGAATGAAATAAAAAGAGAGTGCAATGTGAATACAGTAAAGAGAGTTGATTTATAATTCTGCCTTGTGTAGTTTGCTATTAGTTTTGGCAGCACATAGTGGAAATCGATATCTAAATGTGTGGTTTTCAACTCAATAGAAAGAAGGCCTATCTTGAGTGTATGTGTTATTATGTCATCAATTTCCTCTATTTTTACAACCACATTTTCATCACAATAGTACCTTTCACAGTGAACCACATGAGTGTGTTTTGGCTGTGATGCAAAACAAGTGGTTGTTCGCATAAGCAAAGTATTTTTTCCAGGAGTAGAGAGCCAACCACACAAACATTCACAACATTGTTAATTTTGTGTTTTTCTTAAAGGCATACTGATCCTTAGCCTCTTGTGGTCTGAATGACTGGTTTGAAAGTTGATTTTAGCCGGTTCAGCAGTAGTTGAAGCAATCCAACAATCACCTATAATGAAACGGGTCAAGTTTTCTGCCGTGGACAGACAATGCTGATACCTGGATATACTTTAAACAAGGCAACAGATACTGATACAGCTTTTAATCCAGCACATTATAGCATAATTGAGCTGAAAAGTTATGTGCAAAGTGGCTTTCGGACAACAAAATGACGTACGCTCGTCTATTCAAAATACATGAAATACATGTCAAGAAGCTTAATGATATAGCTGACTACTCGCGAACTATTGCTGGAGCTCTGTCCCCCCATCTTCTTAAACATAATTGGACCAACACATGTTTGGACGACTGGTTATGTTCAGATTTCTATAATAACGACTCGCGAGCTTTACAGAAGCTCACACACAATTAAAAAGGGAGAAAGGCTTGAATGAGTGCTTCTCAATTGTGCTGTTAAAATGATGGCAGACTATGGTCTCTTGCCTTCTGTAACACAGCAAAGTAGCCTATTTACTTACATTAAGTAAAAAAAAACGTCTATTCTTGCACAAAATATATGTTATTCAAGCACTTTGAATGACCTATGTCTATTCAAATGTTTTCAAGGTCTTGATTTGTATCCCCCCACAAATTCACAAACAAACAACAACAACAACAACAACAACAACAACAACAACTTCCATGACTCTGATGAATCGTAGTCTGTCACAATAGCCTCGGGAGATTCTATTCAATTTTCTCTGTGCTGTTCTCTTTACATCCCCCTAACATTTTATTCACCATTGCACACTATTTCAGTCAATTTAAAACCCCATCATTGTACATACCAATTATGAAGTGAAGAAATAAACTGATATATTTGCATATATATATATAAAATATCTTTCACGCAAATCAGTCTAATGAACTTATTCAAACCATATCACATTTTTAGATACAGGTATGTATTTATTGCTGGATTTTTTAATGCTTTGGATTTTTTATGTGATGTTTTGTGTTGGTTAAATAGTATGGCTGAGTGAGTTCGAAATGCAGTTACAGAAGTGTAGTATGGGGAAAAAACATGTGAAATAAAGGTTTCATTTGCAGTATGTGCACATGCTACCACTATGACAGGCTGAATGGGAGCATTGTGGGTCTGACCAAAGAGAGAATGCAATCATATTGGAGAATTTACTTCAAGAAATAGATGAAGAAGGACAAAGTAATTAGTTTTTGAGCTATGTTTTCCAGGCAAAGTCTTCATCAAGACATCAAGCACAGCGTAACATAATGTGTTCAGTGATGTGGAGAGTCGTAATGACATTGCAATAAAACACACATGTAGCTTGACAATTTTCAATTACGTAGAATATATTTTTCCTCCTGTATAAGAAAAACAACAAACGGAATATGGGTTCTTCTGAAAGCAGGAAGAACAGACCACCAAGTATGCTAATGTGTGCAGACAACACCAGAAATAAGGCAAAAAGAGAGGGATAACCTGGATTGACACAAACTTCTAAAACCTTCAGGATAAGACAAATCCTGACAATAACTTCAAGAGCAGTCTTGGCAGGAAGTTCAAGAGGTACCAAGAGGATTTACTGGATGACCCTCTAAACTTGTCAAACGGGTAATAGAGGTAGGAGGGACATCCAATGCCTCTAAAAAATCCCTGTTACTCCACTGCATCAACATGGAAACCAGAGCTTCACCACACAAATACATTCAGTTCCACACCGTACTATCAAACATAATTTTTGTCAAATCTTGAGTAAGGATGGCAGAGGGTGTCCTTGCTTTAAACTTTGGTAACTGTTTCTAAACTGCTTGCAAAAAGTGCTCAATTGAGTGAAGGGTAAAGCGTAAGAAGTCAAAGCCCGCTTTAATATGCAGCTGAAAAGCCTTTCATTGTGAAGTTTACCTTCACATGGCTCCACAAAAGACTTTTCATGATGTCCTGCGAGGATTCTGCAGTGTTTTCAGCAGTATTTCTTGCACCCCCCTTTTTGTCAGTTTAAGAGCTGAAGTGAAAAGGTGGCTGAATATAGAAAAGGTCTTATGTCAAGGATTGTCCCGCTCAGGTATTTTGTGTTCTAAATTACCAACTGTATGGAAACCTAGGTTTTATAGTTTCCATTTATCCAATAGCTATCAACTCCTTCAAGATTTGAACACAATGCAGGCATCATTACACGATTCTAATTTGGGCTCACATGTTTCTGCCAGATTTAAGGGCGCTTTAGAACCCTACATAGACATGGGTTTCTTCAAAGAATCCACTGTATTTTCTCTTTATTTGATCAACGAATGTGATATTTCTAAATAAACTTTCTTTACAAGTCTGCAACTTCATAGCTTCACTACTTCTGATTATGAGCACTTTGCTAAACTGCTAGACTTCTTTATCAATTAACCCTACAAATAAAATGAATATAGGATTAATATGCTGCCTAAATTGTACAACAACAAAAAAACAACAAAAAGGATTCCCTCAGGAATAAATAGGAGTTCTTGGAACTATCTGACTGGCTATGGACCAAGAAAAACATAAGAGGCATGTGGTGATACACATAATCTCCCCTGTACTACTTCTTCATCATTACAATAAAAGAATACTCCAGACATGTGATTGTTGCAAGCCAGAACAAACCACATTAATTAATGTGTCCTTTATTGAACTTCTGTGTTGGTTTGGTTGTATATGTGTCTTTGCTAACATTTTCCATGAAATGTTACAAAGGTCTATTCTGCTACAGAATAGTTGTAGACGCTGCAAAAACAATTTTTAACTTCACTGTGAAACTAAACATTGCTGAAACACAGACTATCACATGTAAACTTGATTTAAAATGGTCATGTCAAGAGCCAATTCCTTATTATTGCGTAAAGCAAACAGATGAATACATACTATACTTACTTTCCTGTTCTAGAAAAAAATACTCCTGCAAAAAATAAATAAATCCTGCAAAGTCAGAGATCTCATATATGGTAACATTTTCTTTAATAAATACACATTCTCTTGAATAAATGCAATTTATTTACCTTTAATGTTCTGGTGGGTGCCCAGCCTGTGCCATCAATAGAGTGCTCCCGCAATAAGCTGCATTCAATTAAAGAGAAAAGAAACACACAGTCATTTACAATACTTCCAGGTTATTGAAGACACTTTGTGGCAAATCATATCTGCATGTACGATGAACTCTGTAGTATTGTGACCCTCATGTAACGCCAAATGTTATACAAGTCCACGGTAAATAAAATCTCAAACAAATCTGTCACATTTTTGAGAATGTGACTGGCTACACTGCTTAACTGCTTAACCCTTAAATTCCAGGTAATGTTTGTGAGAATGGACGTCTAGGGAAGGGAATACTATGTTTTGTTTGCCATTACAATCAATGTCTTGGCAGGAAAAACAATAATGTAACATAATACAAAATACGGCAACTTGAAATTAAGAGAGGAAGAAGTTGCATAGGTGAAGACAAGTCATGATGATGGTGTAGGCAGGATTACCTCAAACAGATCTCTCCAGTTTCTGTGATGTTAGGATGCCATATTCTAGTCAGACATCTCACTTTAGGAGGCTGGAAATGAACATGGAGAGAATAGCAAGAATGGGGAGAGAGGGACACATCTTTATTTATTTAATCATTGAATTTAATTTCAAACAAACTTTTAATAGAGATTCACCTTGTCAGCACAACATAAAGTACATGTTTTCAACATTATGTAATATCTATTATGTCGTGATGTATGAAGACATTTTGCTTCCACTATGAAACAAATATAATTACCACTTAAATGGTTTAAGTTTGTGTATGCTACTTGCTGAAACAGCCCTTTTTAAAGTAACAAAAACATTCACAATCATCAGATGATCTTTGATGACTCTCCAAGGTCAACTTTCTCTGTAGATAATTTGTAAAATGCTCTCCAAACCAATTAATTGGCATGTTTAATTATTTGATAATGCAATTCAAACATATCTTTATTCAGTAACGACACACATGATGCATACACAACTAGACGAAAGAAGAAAATGCAAGCCCATTAAAAAAATAAATAAATAAACTATAGCATTTGCTTCTGCTGTGATGTTGGCGTATTTTCAGATTTTGTTTTTTTTTGTGAAATTCTTCAGCTGTAGGCAGTCAAAAAGACCAGCCTTAAAAACCCAGTCCACAGCTGGTTTATTCTCTGTTGTTGGCTTTTGTGCCTACTATGTCTGCGTATGCTCCTTTTCTTACTGTAGTTACGGGGAAGTTGTGGCAGGGATGAACATAAGTAAAGCTACAAAGCTAGGTCCTTTTCACATGAATGATGAATCCTGAGTCTATATGTGTGAAAGGCAAATCTACTTGGTAGTTGGTAATACTTAACCACCCACAAAAACCCCAGCTCCTTCCACACGAGTGACTTAAAGACCAACCATAATGCTACTTGCAGGAAGCGAGGAAGGGTGATACATTTCAGCTGGGCGGGGTTTCATGAGGGGTTCAAGTTGCCCCATTTTGTGCAAGCTAGCTAATCATTTTCAACCTCTCTAAAATCTAATTTGCACCAGAGAAGGATAGGAGACCAAGAATTAGTGCTCCGACACCAGAGCTTCCAGTCAAGTGGGCAGGATCCCTCTGTCATGTCTAACTTTGAAGATTTGACAATTTTCATGAGTAAACTGCCACGACACATGGATCTACACTTACAGATAAAAGACACACAAAAGTAAAAGGGAACATGAGCAGTGTGCAGTGTACCTGTGTGTCCTTACCTGTAAGTGCTGATCTGTGTGTCATGGCTGTTTACTCATGACACACAGGTCAACGCTTACAGATAAAGACACACAGGTACACTGCACTCTGTGCGCATTCTCTTTTACTTTTACAATATAGAGTGCAGAGGTGAAAACTATTTTTTCTGTCAATATAAATGGTAGAGCTGGCAGTGTGGCTTGAAAAATAGTATCTCTATATTTTCAGCCTGAAATGGCTTGATAAGAAGATTTCCCAATAATTCAAACCTAGTGACTAAATGCTAGTCATTTTCAAATTGATCAAATTCTGGCTAAATGTCTGTATAGCACTGCAACATACTGCATTGTATGACTAAATTTAAAATCATCAAGTTGATGTCTATTAACTTAATGATGTTTTCCCGCTTCCTCTCAAATAACTGTAGAAACATTAGAACAAATTTGATGAACTCCATTTGCTTTTAAAGATTTTTAAGCATTTTATAAGTGGTTACAGTCATTTTAACTGTTTAAACTGTTTCAATTAAGGTCCCCTGCAAACAGACACTTGTTGTTTTTTTAGGTGTATTTCTGAGTCATTATTTATTGCTGTTACTGAATTTCATTGGCCTGAGCTGTTTTCTGTGCTGTGTACCAGCAAAAATAAAAACAAATTTTGGTAAACCCAATGGGAGTGAAACCCATTTAGACCATAGCCTTAACCCAAAACCAGCGAGTCAGAGAATGGACTGTTGTAATGTGAGCTACAAGTAAGATTTCAAACCAGGCTATAGAGCTTTTCATCAACTGATTTAATGTGTAGACTAACAGGCAGTGGAACGTGTTTACATATTTACTTATCATTCTCCTGGCTCGCTTTACCGTTACAGTTGTGCAATTCATAATGGATTTAACGGGACTTTATCAGAGGAAATATACTAATGAGAAAGTAGGTCCACCTCTAAGAATTGATTGACGTTTCATGATTGAATGTTTATTTACCATTCTGTAGCAGGTATCGTAAAACTGCCACAGATGGCTGCATGTAGAGAAAAGTGTGTGTGTGTGTGTGTGTGTGTGTGTGTGTGTGTGTGTATAAATGTGTAATAAAGATTCAGACAGAAGACGAAGATACAAAGCATATATACATGTGTAGAGACACATACAAACACAAACAAAACACATAGATTCACACATAAAAACACACACTGACATGGTGAGATAAAGCCTGCGTAGCAAGGACAGACAAAACAAGAGAGGTGAGTAGAGTAACTTCAACTCAAGAAGGTCGGGTGAAAAATGCAGTGTTATGCAAACAGAAACAAAAATATACCTTGTACCTCGATATTCCTATAGGAATATTAATTGAAGGAAATTCAATAGTGGTTCCACCATGAACACATTTTTAGTTTGTGAAAGGGCACCAGTAGTTTTGGTCTAGAGACTGCTTCATACACAAAACAACCAGAGCAGAACAAACCACAATCAGACAGGAAATCTGGAAGGGTCGTAATTTTAACAGGCCAAAATAGGAAGCTACCAACTAATGCTGACAACACAAATACACATGCAGGCACACACACACACACACACACAGACACACACAGACACACACACACACAAGTAGACACATAAATGGACCAAACAATGAGACATAAGAGGACCACTCACCACCATGTTATAGGCTTCGGGGACGTCTATTTCAAACTGAAACCTTCCACTTTGGTAGTAACCCTCATCTGGAAGCACATAGAGGAAAAAAAGACACAGGACAGCAGTCTTTACCAATGTGTACACTAAGATATGTGTTTTAATGACAAACATCAATTTAGAATTTCTTGTGGAAAGAGGGCCTTCAAGTATCATCACAGACTGCTGATCAGGGTTTAAAAATGTGTTTAATCAAGACATTCTGGATTAGGTATCAGGCAGGCAGTGATCAAAAGTAATCAATTTTAACTGGAAAAATTCAAATTAAGTCGATTAATAGATGAGTAGATCACTTGAATTTCCTGTTCCCCTACCTCCAGAAATAGTGCAGTTTAGAGTACATAAGTTCTTCTTGCAATGAGGATAGTTCAGCAAGTGCATCTGTTAACAGCAAAATATCATGAAAAATAAAAACTAAAGATAATGAGTGCTAGGTATAGGTATAACACTAAGAGGCTAATGTCATGTTGCCAAAAGTATCGGTGACAAGATGCCATACATGAAGTCCTGCTAGATATCAATACTCCATCTCCACAACTGCAAGATGAACACTAATGTGAACTGTTGTGGCTGCCAGCTAAAAAAAAAAAAAATCAATGCATCTGCGGCAGGAGAGAAAATGAGATGACCAATTGGAAGGATTGAATCTCAATCTAGGAGTTTATCTTAGGGGAGCATTGGCCTAATGTGTAACCTTTCAGTCTGACCACATTCTATAGATCAAACATAACGGCTTAACTCTCCCTTTCCATTATGCAATGATTGCTTACATTACACACACATATTCATTACACCACATCCACTGGGAGCATACGAATGTAGAGACGGCTACACACACATGCGAGCATGTAAGGTCACGCATGTGCATACATCTCAAATGAAATATTCTGAGTCAACTGCGGTGACATTTGTTTGGCTAAAGATAAGAAGACATGACATGGCAAGCGATATGAGGCAGTTTTCAATAGTTGGAGTTATATTTTAAAGAAATCGCTCCCCACATGTTGCCTTTAAAGCCAATTAAAGGCTTTTTTCAGGACATCTGCACAGGACCTGTTTAAAAAGGGGTCTTTAATTTGTTGGATAAAATTTGCATTTTTGCTGTGATCTTATGGTACTTCCAAGGATCAGAGGAGGGGAAGGTAGAGAAGAAAATCAGGTTTGGACAGAAAGAAATAACTCCCTATGGAGCTCACACCTTGTTAGGGTGCACTCAGGTGAACTGATACTCCTGGCAACTTCTGACTGAACTCCAGAAAGTGAGCGAGAGCTAGAGAGGAAGGGAAAGCACTTGGCTGGTAATAAGCCATGTAATGAACCACCTGTGTGTGCGTGTGAACATGTGTATGTGCTTGATTGACTGAGCAGCCAGTACCCAGATTTGCACATTTTATCTAAAAATACTTTGCTCAGAAGTTGTACATGGACCACACACTAACATACACTACCGCTGTACATTTTTGTACAATCTCATTTACACATATGGTGAGGCAAACATTTTATTTACATCTACAATACAGTATAATGCAATAAAAAGTTATTGCTGCTCTGAAACAGTATCAATGACACCTACAAATATCAATGACACCTAAAAATCCTGATTCAGAGGTAAAGGTTTATTTATGTACACACAAAACTGGCATACAGACAAGCACCATTATCACTCTCACTCCCCCCTCCTCTCTGTGTACTCAAAACACTAAGCAATTTGAGATAAGGCCTTTGTAAAAGGGCTATCTAAACCTCACCCGATTCTATTCGCTGCAACAAAGGCAGAGGTACAATTTAATTAGACCGCACAAACAGTCTCCCCTGTATTATAAATGAGGAGAGACAGAGGGAGAGGAACGTTGTGTGAAGTTGAGGGATACAGCCTGAACAAGTGTCAAAAGAAAGGAGGGGAAGAAAAAGAAAAAGTTTCGGCATCAAAACCGAGTGAAGGATGGATGGATACAAAAGGGACAAGAGAGAATAACAAAAGGGGGAAAAAGCAAAAAGAAAACTTAAAGAGAGAGAGCATCTACTGACTAACAACCGCAGTCAGAAGTCATAAATAATTCATGAGCGTCTTCAGTACAATGGAACAATCAGTCTTTACTGTCACACGACACTGTGCTTGCACACATACACACCTACACACACACAGCCGAACAACTGAGGTCCAAATCTTTTGGATAATAATAACTCTCATAAGTTGTTGGTCATAATGTTCAAATGACAGAGACACCCTGGTTAGTTAGTTGGTCAACACACCTGTGACAACTACAGTTCATGTCCTGATGTAATAAGGAAAGTCCCCACAGTCATATGCTCCTGGGTGTCAAGTTACCATGGTTACCAACTGATATATATATATAGTTTGCTCATGGAGACTGTATAGAAGATTGCTTCCTTGACAGCTTCCATGTTCAATAGATGGAATTCATTATAAGTGGATATATTATATATATATATATATATATATATCTATCTATCTACACACATCGATCAGTCATAACATAATGACCACCTGGGCACCCTAATGGTCATACCGTTATGCAGCACCATGCACAACAAACTGCGATGCACTGTGTGTGCGATGCACCTTTCTATCAGAACCAGCATTAGCTGTTTCAGCAGTTTGAGCTACAGTAGCTCCTCTGTTGGACCGGACCACACGGGCCAGCCTCGCTCCCCACGTACATCACTTTTCCTGCTTCTAACACATCGACTTTGTGGACAAAATGTTCACTTGCTGCCTAATATATCCCACCTACTGACAGGTGCCATGATAACCAGATAATCAGTGTTATTCACTTCAGATGTCAGTGGTCATAATGTGATAATGCCGATAGGTGTAAGTATATATAGGTCTGCTTTGCTTTTACACCATAAAGAAACTTCACCAGAGTTCAAGTAAAAGCTGATCGAGACCAATCTTTTGAAGAGGTACCTGACTACCTGACCGCAGCAAAGAAAAAATCATGTCAGGAAAAATTTGGCCATGATACCCAGATTAATTATCCTAATTGTGATTTCGCCTGTAGGAAGAGACAGTGAAGCAGAGTGACAAGTACAGCGCATGATTGGTGTTGATAGATAATTAACGTTTCTGACAGAGCTCTGAAAGACACGTCCATAACAGCCAGCACAATAGAAAGAGAGTATCTGAAAAACACAAACCAAGAAGGATGTTTCGTTTTTTCATGGCACTGAAAATATAAGGTCGTTAAAATAAAACAGTGGTCCTGAGAAGAGCTTTATTTCCTTTTCCTTTATTGTTTGTCCACTTGTACAGGTTTTTATTCAGGTAGGTTTTATTAGGTTGGAGGGAGACACAGGAGAGAAAGCTTGGGTGAGATGTGGTCGTTGTCCCCTGGGAACACATGCCCTTGCCACAAAACTGTTCCTGGATGCATACTTTAAATGTCACAACTCTGTGGGCAGCAAAACAAACTATTGTTGTTTTAATAAAGAAGTCTTTTTACTTTCCATCATTCTGAGAGCGACCATGATCTGATGTTATGCTGCACATAGCAAGAGTCTGTGAACAGCAGGGCACAGTGAAAGGAGATGGCTACCACACTGAGAATCAGAATCAGAATCAGAAATACTTTAATAATCCCAGGGGGAAATTACTTAAAATTAGAATCTGGAGGTCTGCAGCCTTTATCTGTTATCATTTTATCTTTATATCCCATTACTTCCTGCAATATTTCAAAAAAAGCTGAAAATGACCATTGGCAACTCGTGTTTCGCCAGTTAAATGCTTTTAATGTGAAGCTTCAGCCGTAGGAAATATTTGGTATGTCACCACATATACTGCAAATATATAAATACTGCAAATATACATATACTGCAAATATATAAATACTGAAAATATACATATACTGCAAATATATAAATATTGCAATACTTTCATCAGTGGGCCATTCGTAACAGACATACAATCAATCTGCCCAGTATTTCCCAGTATGACAAACGTCTCTCTTTCCTTCTTCTCTTTGGATTAGGCATGCTGTTTGTTGTTAATGTTCCTTATAGTGTACAGATATTTCTACTTTTCTGTTAAATGTATTTTAGATAGACAGTGACTTACAGACATTTATTCAAATGAAAATATTTAAGATTATTAATTCAATGTAATCATTAGACAAAAGGATTCAGTGTGAAGGCTCATTACCCTGCGTAGTCTCCCTCATCTCATCACTGACATCAGTCTTTAACATGTCCCAGGGATTCGACTGACCAACTACGTGGAGAATATAATATTGATAATATCTCCAATTTATTGTATAAATGTAATATAATATTGCAAGTTATTTCAGCCTAACCCTAATCCAATAGGAAAATCTGCAATACAAATTATACTGAACAGGGCTGCTGTGATATGAAACACTGTGTACCCATACAGCTGCACTGTGACATGTGCATGAAGCTACACATGCACACACACTACTGTGCAGAGATGAACTTCAGATGACCGCGTAGCCTCTGTAACCACGTCTTGGCCGTCCACCAACAAAAAAAAAAGACGCAGTTGTTTACCCCAAAGCACCTCTCACTGTTGTTGTTAGCTTAATTCTTTGTTCACTCTGTTTATCAGTGTAATAGCTTCGGGAAAAGCACCAGCAAGCTCCAATATTGGCATAATATCTGAAACCCAAATTTGTAGGGTATTTAACCCATCCAGTACACTATGTCGGCCAAGCGAATATTTGGCCAGCCAAAATTCAAATGCTACTGGCTCAGCTCCACAAAAGCACATTTACAAGTAAACCACCAACAAGGAAGTGTCCTTAAATTTTAATGCATCTGCGACAAACCGAGCAACACAAATCTCCAGATCTTCGTCATATCCAAGCACAGACATGAGTCACATTGACAACCTGTGGAATAGCTGTTAACAGAAGATTGAACTTGACCCCTTCTGAGTAAAAGTGAAAAAAGTAATCTAAGGTGTTCGATACATTCGAAAGGACAGCAAGATATGACTGCTGCAGAGTGTTCTTACACAAAGTACAAGTAGTGACAGATTTAAATAAGACCTGTTGTTATTTTGCCAATAAGGGGTCATCTTGTGTTGAAAAGCTTTTTTCACATTTTTGCCATAAATGTACTTTTTAAACGTACTTTTTCTGTCCCTACAGAGTTTTGCTCATACACTCAAATTTTGCAGGTTTCTGCAGCAATGTGCACAACAATGCATTAATTATCCATATGGAAACCAAGCAGAAAAAGTACACATCTGAGAACAGACAATGCACTTTGTACATCAATTTTCTTTCATCGTTGTACTTCTAATCCGAACATTGACATGTGAGAATGTGTTTACCCCGGAGTGTTGCTGCTGTCCCCATTCCTCAAAGACACAGGGGTCTGGGGCTACAAGGTCACAGCACAGAGCTGTTGAATGGGAAAAGGAAATTAAACAAACTAAGTAACTAAAGAGACATTCAACTGAGCCGAACTTGAAAAAGATCACTTATTTCTCAGTTTTCTGTTTGTTTCTTGTTTGTTTGTTTCAAAATGAATGGAATGAATGAATGAATAATACATGGTGATACAATATTTAGATGTAATATACAGTTTAATAATAACAACAACTAAAACAATATAAAAGAATCTGCTTGCCTTGCTTCAATTAGATCTGGGAGCACAATCTGACACAAAGCATGTCTGTTGAGTGTGTGTGTGTACTGCGTGTGTGTGTGTGCATATTCATGTCTTCTTCTTGATTAGGTTTCTTTTTGTTTCTTTGTTCTTTAGTGAGTAAGGTGATTTGAGTAAGATAGTCTCTCATAAAAAAAGGAATTAACAAAAGCAGCTTGGAGGAATATTGCACCTCATCCCTCCAGTAAAGCACTGTGTTGTTGTTCAGGAGACATAATGACCGTGAGAACCACAAGTGGATAGTGTTAAGATATGTGACTAGAATACATCTTTGTCACTTTGATTTGAAGTTTGAGATTTTGTTATACTATTGTTGCTTTGTCAAACATTTCCATATGTGTACAAAATGTTTAATTAGCACAGGACTAAGTTAAACCACTGAACGCAAATCCAGGATATCAAAACAGTTTAAATATAAATGGGATTAAGGCGTATGTATTTTGTTCTATGTATGCGAAGCAGCCTGTTTTATAGCTGGACCCATTAAATTGGGCCTTAGGTTTTTTGGACCAACAGCAGTCAATCAAATGTTTAAATTACAGCACTACCTGCAGCATGAGTAAACCGTGCTACTGTCTACATTAGATGTAAAAGATAACACAAACAGAAGAAAACATAAAAGGAGACGGGAAAAGAAGAAAAGGAAAGAAACACTTACATAAGCCTTGAGCTATAAATTCTCCCCATAGCAAGTCGAGATGATTTTACCTTGCACTGGTTTGGATATAAGAGACACTGGACAACCTGCATCCTGAGGCAAGTTCCCTTTGCATGTTTTATTTTCCTGTCTGACCACTATTACCTTCCCTGCAGCACAAATTACAGCCTCTGTGTGTAAAATGTCTAACTAATATACTGCAATTCTCAAATGAAATATGACTAAAAGTGATAAACTGAGGCAGCTGTGTTAAAACAGCAGCTTCTGAGAATTGAGAGCAGACATCGGCTGACTAGCTTTCAGTGGAGGGGACACAGAGAGAACAGGCAAGAAGAGAAGAACAAAAAAGAGATTAATAAACAAGGGGAGAAACAGAACCACTAATAGAGAAAAGAGCAAGTGAAAGGAAGTGAAAAGGGGGTATAAACGTGTGAGTGTGCCTTGTGTGTATGTCTGGAGAGACAGAGGTCTTGAATAATTGAGCAAGTCTTTCTCTGAGAACTCAATCTCCTTACCAACTCCTCTTAAAGAACATGACACCAAACCTCATCTCTAATTGCTGATCTTTGCTTTTCTCTGCAGATTTTGCTTACAAAGGCCTTTGAGAAAACTAAGCTGGCATTACAGTGCCGACTCGGGTGGCAGGAAGACGGATGAATCTCAGATACGCACATACATACACATGCGCTTACGAGCAGTCACGCACGCACAAGACCTCGGACAGGGCCTTGAAATATCATATTAGTTGACAAAAATTGATGCGGGGACTTCCTCACCTAACAAATGTACCGGACAAAATAAGAGACACCTCTCAAATGTTATTGCTACCGTTTGCCAAAATACAGAGAGAATTATAAGATAAATGATGAGCTATCAGAACAAAGACTAAGTAGTAAATCTCCCTAATGATTTAATAAGGAGTATGGTCTACACCTGCTCTATATCTAACTTATTTGAAGGAGAAAAAGAAGACCTATATATATATATATTTATATATAATAAAATAGCCAGATTGTTCATTGTAAGAATCTTTGCTTAAACTCTGATTGGACATACTGTCTGAAGTTGTGCACGCTTTTTTCTGTGCAACAGGATTATTTTTTTTTTCGTTTTTACCTCCAAATAAAGTGGATTAAATCATCTGTTGTCTTGTTAACAACCTATTTAATCACTGACTTCATTGTAGCAATGTGCTCAATTGTGTACAATGTTGTCATAACTGATAGAAACTGGGAGAAAATAAGACCCAAATTGTAATAAACAAAAATTATCCTTCCAGAAAATAGAATAAAATTATGCAGAATTGCTGGCTGATTCTGGATAATTTTGTTCTATTTTCTGCATAATGTGTGTCTGAATTTGAATCTGCTTTTGTCTAAACAGTGTTAACCACCAGATACTTTGTTTGTCCCTCTCATTACTCAAGCACAGACAAACACAAAGCTATGTCGTCACTTTCTGTAAGTCTCTGGCTTGTGTTCTCCTAGCCGTGTATCCTCCAAATAAGAGATGAAAATGGATTTCCACATTTCATAAGTAAGAGAAATGAGAAGGTGACATTGGGCTTGAGGACAGAGAGAAAGTGTGACAAATAGAGAGCAGGAAGTGAGAAGTAAGAGAGTCTCCAGAGACTTGGGTAATCCCACACCAGCGTGTTTGGTTTGTACAATATTCGACAGGTAGCCCACTTAGCTTGGAACAGTGCTGAGAAAGCAGATTGTACTAGGCGAATAATGATTGTGCGGTGGTAATGTCGAAATACAGAGAGGGGACTGGAATGCCATTTAAAGGGAATACTTAAAGACACTACATAGACTTACAAACAAACTGCTAACATTGCATTTACTCTCCCCCTATCATACACAACCATCCTCCTCCCCCACAATCTGCACACACAAACCAGGCATATTGTCTGGAAGTGAGATGGCACAAAATGAGAAAGCAGTGGACATAACTGGAGGCTGTTTAAGGAAAATCATTTTCATTCACATTCAGGGAACTGTGATCATCACATTAGCCTGACAATTTATATCGCAATTTTTCCAGTTCTCGTGCTGCCCTCTCTTTCCATTACTGTTCTTTACTGAGAAAGTGCAGTTATTTGACTTACAAAATGCAAGATGACTCGAGGGTCTTGTGAAGTGGTGGTTCAAATCATCGGCTTATAGTGAGCAGTCCTATTTTTTATTATTGTAAATTATGATATGACAATTGTATAATGAACTGAAAGGATATGTTTCTGGCTTTTTTCCTATGAAGTCTTACCTTAATATTTCTGTAAAATCTACATGCAGCAACAAATCTGTGTTTCATTGTCCTGGTTCAGGGTCCCTGCTGGGTTTCCCTGCTCACAAAAGAGTTTGTGTCATCATAGCAATCTTCAGGTGGAATTCTTTCCCGTTTTGTGCACTGCATTTTCTTGGGCTTTGATAAGGGGTTTAAAAAAAGCTCACTCCTAAATTAATCTCTTACACTACACCAGTGGAATTTGAACGAGTCTGAGTTCAACATCCACCAAAATAATAGGCAACCAAAAACACTGCTTCCATCAGTTCATACAATATTAACAGTGCAAAGGTGGAATCTAAAATGAGATTAGCTGTGACTATATTTCCTGCGTCCCAATAACAAAGCAGTTACTAAATTATTTAAGCAGTTATTTCTGGAACAGACAAGGAGACAGACAGATGTTTAGTTTTTTTTTTTTCTCTTACCAGGAGACACTGCCAGTTGAAAATGATGTAGCTTGTCCTCATCTGGGAAACTGGCTTTGCATGTACCTGAACAGGAACAAATAGGGGAGGGAAGAGTTATTAGAGTCAAATGTTAAAGCCAGAAGTTGTAATTACTTGCTTTTGTTCCAAATAATGGCATTAAAATCAATAATATATTGTATTTTCATTAAATGCTTCCTAAACCACAGCATGTTCATACTTCTGTCTGTTCACAGAGACTGCAGGATTTATGCCTTGGGACCCCCTGTGGCACCACATTCCCCCCTGGTGTTCAAGGACATGTACTGCGCTTCAGACCACTGGCATCACCTCGGAGAGCATTTTTGTACCCAAGTTCATCAAACTTAACATCACATGAGCTCTTTTACTGAATAATCTTTTTTTGTTCGGTGTAAAATTAGACTCGAGATATACAAGGATCTTGATGACGCATATTGTGAGACTTATGTAACATCTTTTTCATAATAATGACTTTAAATGAATGTAAAAGGAATTAAATGCAACAGTTCGACTGCTTCTTAATCAGGCAGAGAAGATAATATACTGTGGGCTGCATGTAAAGCATAGTGCCCTACAAATAATTAATGATCCTCTTATCAAATCTCAAAGTGAATTTGTCTTTCCAAACTTTCTCCACCAAGCTAATAGATCATTTACCAACTTGCCCTGCATTACTGAGGAAATATGAAGTGACTGAGTCATTAACTGTTGAGATATGATATGATATGATGAAGTGTCGGAAAGCTGTTATGCATTGCATGCCCAAACAATCATCAGACACATCACATAACTAATATGACAGCATATTAAAATGTTAGTTGAAAAATATAAAAATGTGTTTGTGTGTGTGGTTGGGGGACAAATCCCCATCTGAGTCTCCACTTCTCAGTCTGGTAGAGTTATTGAATGAGAAGACAAAAGAGTTCTTATATTGCTCTTCATGCAGCGTAGGAAAAAACAATTCAACTGATTTGAACATGAATATGTCCCCCAGTAGCCACCGAATCCTGGCTTTCACCTGGACAGCAAAGCTACATCCTTGTAGGGTATCCAGCTTTGAATACATACTCTGTTTTTATGTATAATATGCCTTCAGTTTGTCTCTTATTTCTTATTTAATGTTTCTTATTGTAAATTGCTCATTTCAGCCTGAAGAATACCATCTGTTCATGAGAACGCCCCTAAATTGTAACATAAAGCTACGAGTTCTGCTGTGTTTGTGATTAAGTTTCCAACACAAAAATGTCACCTGACTGACCCGAGAGTGAAAAGAGCAATTTCACACTGTGGTGCTTAAAGTCATGCAGCCAGAAATCAGCAGGAAAAAACATTAAAGACGTACTGCAGCAGTGTCAACAGTTACAAAATATTATTACACAATCGACCAGAAATAGAGAGGGAATGTTTTGACATGAAGTTAGATGCCATAAAACAGTTTGCCATGATTTAGATGGGAGGCAGCTGATGGGTATTTTAGTCACAGAGATACAAGAGGAGAAAGTATTAGCCTATAAAGTGGTGTACAGTGAACAATTGCCAAAATTATCAAAAAAATATTATAAAATTAAATAAAAAATGAGACCATATATGGAGAGATCCCCATCCTCCTCTTCCCTGAATTCCTGTCTGCCCTTAACAGTGAAAATCCATCACATTCAATAAAGCTGTATTCTATTCTATTCTGCTATATAGCTCCAGACTCATGGCACAAAGCCAGGTTTCCATAAAGCAAAGTGCTGAAGCCTCATGAAAATCAAAAGAATACTTTACACAAGACCGTATTTCATCATTGTTGTTGATAATGAAGAACAGATTAGATGAGCTTAAACAGTAAAAGAGCCGTGGATGGTTTCTTTAACGGCACAGTGTCCTAACTCCACCTCCCTCATTCACCTACTCCTTTAGCCAGTTTACACTCAGCTCCCCAAGAACAACTGTGATGTTAGTCTGAATGTATTTCTGAGAATCAGAGGTATATCTTATACATAAGCAAGTGCAGGTCAGCTTCCAGTATGCAGCAAACACACTGGTCATTGAACAGACACATGCATCATGCTTCATGCACCCCCCCCAGTACCAATATTTTCCAGGGGCTTGCAGTGTTACAAATGCTGAACACAGCTGGGTCAGTATTTGTTTGATATGTGTCTTATTTAGAAAATGTATGGCACAATAATATTTCCCAGTCTTCAGCTCCGGGGCAAAACTGATCAGACCACAAACAAAAACCGGTATGCTAAATTCAGCCAAAGCAATCATAATTAATTCAGCACTAATGCATAACAATAACAAGATCTGATATTCTGTAGTGTAAATTCTCAAATAAAAGCCAGGAACCCAAATAGTAGTAGGGGTTACAGTCTGTTTGAACAAATAAATCCTGACGCCAAAAGTATAAAAAGCATGAAACTCATCCAAGCCTCACAGTGCATGTGTTTATACTTAAGCATGGCACTTTTCCAGCTTAATACAGCAACATTTATAAGGGCTGGGAAATCTGGCAAAAACCAAATCTAACTAATGTCAGGCCTTCGTGAAATGGCTTTGCAGATGGATCATCCTAAAAATCTAGACTAACCGACCTTTAATGAAGACATTTTGACGTGCGTAGACAATTGCAAAAGAGTCCATCTGAAAACCTTATAAGCCCTATTTAATCAAAAATATAATTTACTGAAAATCTGACACATTTATCTAATTTACTGTGAAAAAGCCAATTATCAGATTCTGGTTGAATAGCTACACGGCATAAAATATTCTTTCAAATAACCTACATCTCAAATGATCAAAGCAACTTGTCAAAAATCCGAACACAGAGCATATCTATGGGCTTGGTTTTTGTTTTCCTGCCTCATCTCAAACATTTGGAAAATTGTTCTAATATTCCCTCATTCCCGAAACACAAATATATTGACATATATTCGGCAAAGCCAGAATAATACATCAAGCACGGGTTACCCTCGTTTAGCAACATTCCTCCATGTTGTAGCAAAAGAGACAAAAAAAAAAAAAAACTAAATAAAAGCTCCTTAGTTGGGAAACAGAACCAGGTGGACACTATAAGAATGTGTGGTATATTAAGTCTATTATTCAACTGTCACACTTCTATTGACTAGACGGAGATGTGGGGCTTAACAAGCATTGTAAACACGGAGAGGAACGGAAAGTGTAATGAATTCAGAGAGAATGAGTCTGTCTCCACTAATTGAATGAGATCGGTGTGTATGGAAGTGTAGAGCGTACTTACTAGGGAGATTGGCTTCAAGTTCTGCAACTTCTGTTAAGAGAGAAAAAGAATAATGAATAAGCAGAGCGGAGAAGAGGGTAAAGACCGACGCCACAAACACACATGCGCAAATATGTCAGATCTTTACACACGGAGAGCTGACACTGTCACACTCTTAACTCTTAAATGAGTTAAATGCTACCTGAATAAAAACATTATTGTCTTACATGCAAGTTATAAAATAGGTTGTCTTCGGCATGCAACACAATGTAGCGGAGAAAAGAATGACTCGATCAGTGGGTAACAAAAAAGGGAGGACGGAAAAAGAAGACGCGTAAAGAGCAGAGAGATGTTCAGCTGGTGTTGCCTCTGGGTTGCGTCTGGTTGGATTTTTCACTGCTCATTTGTGTCAGCTAGTTTAACACTAACAATCTACAAAATGGGAGGAACAATTGCTTCGTCTCTGGGCCGTCTGTGTTGTTGTTCTGGTGTGTCATGCTAAGAATTTTCCATTGTCATTTACACAAACACATTCTTTTAGATGCGCAGAGTGTAATTATTAGATACTTCTTTCACTTACCCCCCCTCCACATGGCGGGCACAGCAGAGGGTCAGCTATTTAACAGCTCCCTCAGAGATAGTGGGGAGTTACTGTTTTGTCCAGTGAGACATACAACTGGCTTTTATCAGAACGAGTACTCTTCTCCGCAGCCCATGTCTGCCAAATGTCAGGTCCCTATCCATATTTTAAAAAGTTCTGCCCAAGGGTCATCCACAATTTATTTTAATGGTTCTCAGCTGTGTATCGACGTCCAAACACTAAGTCAGAGTCCTCCTTTCTGGCTGAAGGTGTGCCTAACAGTGATATCAGCTGCTTTAGTGTTTGACTATATACCCTTTGTCCCAGTTTATTTAACAAGCACTGTATTTCTATTTCAAATTAAGCTATTTTACATGGCCAACTTCTCTGAAAAGTAGTGATCAGTGGGAATTGGTTTGTGAATCAGACCAAGATACTGAAACAATCAAATTCAGGACAGATAGACAACAATAAGATCTCGTCAGGGAGCAGGATCCTTTGTGCTTCTGCAAGATGGGATATGTCTTATTCAAACATCAGTTTGTTAGAGCAAGCTTGTCATCCTCAGGTTCAGCGTTAGGAAGTGCCAGGTCCCAAGACAGCTCATTTAGAGGTTTCCTGCCTCAGAACTTGACTTGACCTTGTATTATTATCATGCCTGTGAGCATCAAACCATACCACTTCAGTACCTCGAGGGAAAAATAACTTCCACAAGGCAATAGCCATCCAAGAGAAAGAAAAGTAAGTCACTCAGATGATGTGCTGAAGGGCATTACACTGATAGAGGTTTTTAATATTGCCCCACTATCCTATACATAATACTGTAAATGATAGTGGGCCAGCAGCATTTTATTTTGTATCACCCTGTTTTGATCCCTTAGAAAGGGCTGTTTAAGGGGCTGTTTGTGTGACAAAGTATTTTTTTCACCCTTTTATTGATGGACAGTGTTACATTGTGTGAGAGATTATTTGCTCCAAGTGAGAATGTTAGTGTGAAATTGAACACTACAGTATATGCCAATGTTGTTTTCAATAAAAAGAACATTTGCACAAAGCAAGCCGATCCACTTTTCCATGTTGATAAGAGCATTAAAATGAGAAAAAAATAATGGGACGAAAAGAAATCAAGGGACATTTAGAATAGCTGAAAATGTGTGATTAATCGCGATTAAATATTCTAATCGTTTGACAGCACTATAAATAACATCTGTCATGGCCTACAGTGTCAGTCATGTAACATTTAGCTGCCTAGTTGTGGTTTGCTTCTGTATAAATACATGATGGACGAAGTGAACCATGACCCAAGTACCTTTGGTTAGGAGGCGGTCCCTGATGGAGACCCTGTGGGCGGAGTCGGAGGCTCCAGAGGCACGGCCCGTCTTTCCTCCATCATCCCTCTTCAGCTTACTGGCCAATGTAAGCATGGCTACGCTGCTGTAATGTTCCTCACTCTGCCCCACGCTGTGCTGTGCTGCAATGCACTGCTTCTCAAATGCCTAACAATCACAGAGAACATAAAGAATTTATTAATCAATCAAATTATATTGCAGAATCAAGCAAAAATGTATATAAAATGGACATAATATTGGACACATATGTGTACACATGCAAATCCTACAACCAATTTTAAACAAACAATACGTTTTTTTTCGCACAAATAAGCATAATGTTTAAAGACTGCAGATACACATCATATTTAATAATAAACAAAGTGGCCACGTTTTCAAGAAGCCTGTGTTAAATTAATTCATTCATCATATGCATTATTGATCCTCGTAGAGAAATTCATTCTCTGCATTCGTGGGCAGCCACCATGCAGCGCCTAGGGTCCAACTTTAAGCCAGTACGATGGTCAAGGGCACGGACTGGAGAATGAACCTAACATACATGTTTTGATGGTGGGGGAAACTGGCGCACCTGGAGGACACTAACACAAACACAGGGAGAACATGCAAACTCCACACAGAAAGGCCCTGCCCCTGCCCCTGCCCCTGCCCCTGCGGGAATTTGAAAGAGACGACAGTGCTTACCACTGACCCACCATGAATACAACTATCTGTGTGTTTTTGTTACCTTAGAATGAGCTGGTCTGTATGTTGTTATCTACATACATACCTTGCATGGAATCTGCCTTGTTGAACCACCATGTTTCTATAGGAGCCTACACCGGACAAACCAAACTCTTGCTCTAGATAGGGCCCACAGGGGAGTTTCACAGATACCGCAGTTTCTACTACACACTTCATAGCCCGTTCTCATTCCCAGGAATTCTCAGCTCAGTTTCCTCTCACAGTCCACAGACATGCACACAAGGTGAACTAACTCTAAACTTTTGCAGTTGTGAATGGTCGTCAGGTCTAGACGTCTCAGCCCTGTGAAAGACCCGCAACCTGTCCAGGCTGCCTTAAGCCCAGTGTGCAGGAAGAGACTCCAGCCACCCACGACGATGTACAGATGAAGCAGATATAGATAACGGAAAGCTGAACGACGGAGAAAAAAACATCAGAGAAAGGTCTTTAAAAAAGGTAAACGATATCCAAGGCCAAAGCTCAGTTGTGCTTAGAAATTACACCTACCAAGATCTTTTCACATCGGGCTAGTAACACTCATCAGCTATCGCTTGTTCACGCTATCTACAGACTAGATCTCATAACAAAGAGATAAAAAGAATAGAAAAGGCGAGTGTTTAATAGAGGGTCAAATCTATTATCTAGTACGCTTATTATAGCAATAAACTGACTACCATGACACTATTTAATTACAGTGCAATTAGACTCCAAGTTGTCTAACAGTGTAAGTGTTAAGTTGTAGTCATCTTAATTGCAGTAAACTGAGGTAAATCACTAGACAGCCTCCTTTTGTGTAACTTTTTCTTTACACAAAGCCTATCCTCTACAACAGATAAACCACGCAGTTGAATTTTGACCATCTGCTCTTTACATTCATGATCAAATCAAGCATGCATTCAGAGAAATGAGAGGAGTTCATTTAGGGAGAATGCTGTATATTTTGGGGGATTTCTACTGAGAGACACATAAGTATAGCCTTCAGATGAACATTTCAGCACTGCTCAAAGATGCCAAAACCATACATTAACATTCAACAGTGAGTATTCAGTTATGGGGCCGTTGTAAGCAATAAGAAACTTAGAAGTTCATAAAAAAAATAAAAAGAACAAGATAAAAGATTAAAAAAACAAATGATCTTCGACACTCTCATTTAACTCTCAAAAAACTGAGGTTATCCGACAGAAGGAGCCAACAGACACAAGTATCACAAATTGCTAAATAATATTCAACAGACTCACTGTAACAGCGAAGTACTTCAATGTTATGCTTCTGCCAACTTTCCTATTAATGGTGCTGCGGCAGGAAGCCATTATCTATGGCATGACATTGTTAAACTCAGAGATGAAAGCATTCACTCCTTGTAAACCCGTCTTCTGGTAACTATCAATGCCATCCGAGAACCAACCGTCGGAGTGGTTGTTTACTGATTTCCTGGGAGAGTTTCTTATGCCTTTCAATTGTTGATAATTTGGCATTTATTGCATTGTGCATTTGTAAAATCAGACATAATACACATAATGGATTCAAATATTTCAACAGAGACAGTCTGGCAAAGATAACGTGTTGAAATATTTTATGTATAAAATGTTGTCATTCAAAAGTTAAGAATGAAAAAGCAATGTTGATTTGAAATACAAACAGGAATACAGTATGTCAACTCAGCTTAGGCGGTATGTACTTCTTCATACCTTTATACTGACATTGCACCGGGGTATATCGTATATAAAGAATATAGCTGAGCTGCCGGTGATAGAAGTCACTGTAGCATACCTGAGCACTGACTCAAGGGAGAGGCGATGAGAGACAGTCAGAGAAACAAACGAGTCGGAGCAACGCAATTTCACATGTGGGGCTCTAAAAAGGAAAAAAAAAAAAAAAAAAAAAATTTTTTAAAAGAGGAGGGGGGGGTATTATTTCATCTTCCCCCCCCCCCCCAGAAGGGAGAGGAAAAAAAAAAAGGAGGAAAAAAAAAAAAATTAAAAAAAAAAAAAAACAAAAAAAAAAAAAAAAAAAAAAACCACCCAAAAAAAAAAAAAAAAAAAAAAAAAAAAAAAAAAAAAAAGGGGGGCATCAGATGAAAATGATAATTTGGGGATTTCAAAATACCCTGATATACCTCAACACGGCCCAAGCCTTATGTCAACATCTAAAAACACAATAACAAACTATTAAAGCAGCTTTCAGGACATGTAAAATGTTCAAAAGACATTTACAATCCTCGTTTCCTGGTGCAGCAGCATCAGTAGAGACTCACAACCACCCAAACACACTGTCTGCATCAATCACCTAACGTACTTTAACTCAGTCTTGGTGATCCTTTTCTGCTGTTTTGAAAATGTCCCATGCCCCCTCTCACTATTTCACCGTGGTACAGTTTCACCGGTGGGTGCAGAACTCCTTTAACCTCACATCTCTCCACTCTGTGTGTCCAGTCTGAGCTCATTTGGGGAAGCGGCAGCAGCAGAAAGTGAAGGTATCAAGTATCAGTGAGCCCACAAAATGTGTGTCACTGAGTCTGACTCGACACCCACCTGCCTCAGCTGTCACTCACAGACTCAAACTACCTGGATGTTAGTCAAACAGCTGTGGGGATAGGAACAGGGCCAATGCAGCATAAGCAGACAACACAGCTGGCAGTGGAACAACAAACAACAAATAAACAAGCACACAGCCATGAAAGATCTGTTTCTCTTCTGGCTGTGCAACCACTATCTGCTATGACCATATTAAACCATAAGCTGTCAACACATGGAGGAAGTTAATGCTAATGTAAAATACCTTTTATAAGTCTGGTGTGTGTCCTTTCAGCTCGTTAACTAACCCTAATAACAATCCGCTAACACTGCTAATCACAGCTAAGCTAGACGCACTATCCAACTCACAACCAGCCTCCTTTCCTCCGCACATTTCACCGCAGCTCACCGAGACATGCCCCTCGTTTTACTCAGCGTTTAAAACTCTTATCACAGTATCCATGTTAGCCAGTGTTATGTGTGTGTGTGTGTGTGTGTGTGTTATCTTTTTTTTACCTTACTGTCTCAGAGCTAACGCGCTCCGTGTGCTACACCATAATCATCCGCCCTCCTCTGTGCAAAGCGCCGTGTGCGACTCCACCCGGAGACTACAGGAGACCCGTCCGGCTGTAAATAACTTCAAAAATACTTATTTATGTGTGTGTGTGTGTGTGTGTGTGGGGAGGGGGGGAGTGGATATGAACTGATTGGAGAATCAGCTGTCAGAACTTCGTTCCGGTGTCATGGGCAACGGAAGCGCAGTGAATACCGGTCGTTGTTGTTGTCCGTGTAGACATGGCGGCAGATAAATAGTTCCGCAGAGGCAGTGCACGGGTTGGAGTCGGTTCTAGTTGGTTCTGGTTTGAAGGTTAACATACAGTCACTACACCTGCTGCTGCTGAGTGGGTATGTTTTACTGCATGCATTTTATAATATATATATATATATATTTTAGTTTGCACTACTACTGTTTATGTATGATGTATGTAAGTTCTTACATGCACATTAGTATTTAAAACCTGTACTGTATATTCATAGCCCTGTCTAGACTTTATCCTTTTGCTAAATTGCTGCTGTTTATATTTATATTTTCTATATTTTATAACATGCCACTACCTCCTGCTGTAACCTGTGTAATATTCTGTTTTAATTTAAATCACATCTGTATAAAAAAAACATTGTATATAGTGTACATACAACCCTAATTCTATTAATGTGTATTTCTTTTCTTTTTTTTATCTGCTATGTTGTATCTGGAGCTGCTGTAACAAGTGAATTTCTCCAGTGTGGGTCCATCTTATCTTGTCTTATTTCCAATTATACTGTCACTTAACTTACACGTTGAAAAAAAAACTTCACATTAACACATTAGCCCAGGAAAGATTGTTCCACTTCCCCAATCTTGTTTAATATAGGCAGCTGTTTTTTAACCAAAGTTTAAAATTATCTCGCTACAGACAAAAGGGATGAGAGAAAGTTTTGCAGAATAAAAAACTTAAGAAATTATTATCATGTTTAAATACACAGTAAAAAAAACATTGGCTGAACAAACACAAAGTGTACTCATGCCGTGCATACTTGTAAGTATATACTGTCATATCCACCTACCTCATGTATATAAAGTAACTATATATATATAGTAATTATATTATATATTATTATAGATATATTATATTATATTTCTGTGTATGTACATTGAGAGCAACGTGAAACCAGAGTCAAATTCCTTGTATGTGTGTGCATACCTGGCCAGTAAAAGTGATTCTGATTCAGAAGCATTTATGCTCTAATTGTCATATTCCTTATGAGTGAGCTTTTCTGCCCCATTGTAGACCAGCAACCTTTTCCTGTAATACTTTATTTTATTTACTTTACTCATTTATCTATTTTGGTTTGCCAATTACCCCCAAATTAACTAAATGAACACGTTAATAACACCTTCCAAGATTGATAATGATAATTATAGCCTAATTAAATAATAATTATGATGGTTAGACTCATCCATACTGAATGACTAAACCTCCTATCTACCTGTCCTGCACACACACACACACACACACACACACACACACACACACACACACACACACACAGAGAGAGAGAGAGATATGCTATGAAAAGAGCACCATTTGCAAAATAGAAAAATGAGACTCGCTGTTTCACAGAACAGCTCATTCGTTTCTTGGAGCAAACCCAATTCACCCTAAAGTCTTTGGACAAAACTGTGATTCACTCAGCCAGTTGTTATGGACCCAGGACCATGGGGGTTGTCACTGTAAACAAGAACATGTTCTTGACTGACCTGCCTGGTTAGATGAATGTTTTAAAAAAGAGGAGTCTATTAATCTTGGAGTGGATGATTATATTGTATTTCATCTACATCTGTTTAGACAGGTGTTGGCCATCAGGCTTTCTGGGATGCTCACACGCTGAAGGATTTGCCCTCATGACAATGTTATGTTCACTCATTCCTCTTCACATGGTGTGCTTAACACATTGCTTTTGTTATTCAATGAATGTCAAGTGAGGACAACACATCTGTATTTGTTTATGGGAGGGGTACTAATATGTTGTACAGTTGTAACAAACAAGACAAGGGCAGCTGAATAAACTCTTTAAATAAAACGAATGAATTAAAAGAATGCAGATTTACAGTCAAACAATGAAAAGATCAAAATTAACATGAAGTGAGGAAAGGTGAAGTTAGTTCCGCCTTGTCAGGAGCAAGAGATAAAGAACAGACGGTCAGATGGGATCAAGAATTGTGGACAGGAACATACTGAACGTATCAACAAACAAAACTTTCCACCCTCTCCTCAAATGACTCATAAAAGAGTAAATCCAACATTGAGGATGAAGGCATTCAGTTTGAACTGAAATATATCTGTCACTTCTGGGTCCATGAGCTCAACAACAGCGTAATGAGGGGGATAATAAAAGTTGTCGCGCTCTTCTACCCAAAGGGGGTAATTAACTGACAGAGGGTGCACCTTGAGGAATTTCAGATTTCTGTTTATCTGTGCGGACTTAGCTCTTGAAAAATTAAATGTTAAATTAGCTTCTGTCAACTTTGATGTCTGTAGCCCAACAGTGATTTGGAAAATGTTCACCTAAAGTCAAAAAACATCTGCTGTCTGCACGCCGGGTATTAAAATATTAGGATTTGCCTCCCGCTGCTATGTTGTGTACGTACAATCTAGGCTTTGGGTTGTCTTGAGGGGTAATTTACTGGTCGGCTCACTTTCATCTTCACCCTTCCGACCGTGAGTGAGATTCAGTCACTCAGCAGGTGGAGCAGGTGATGCAAATTTCAGAGACTAAAGAAATCTGAGGTTGTGTTGTTTACTCTCCTCACTTGAAAAAAATTTAATAAAAAAAAAAAAAAAAATTGATATTTTTAACTTTTTTTTTTTATATAAAAAAAATAAAAAAAAAAAAAAATAAAAAAAAAAAAAAAAAAACCCCACCAAAAAAAAAAAAAAAAAAAAAATAAAAAAAAAAATATTTTTTTTTTTATTTTTTTTTTTTTTTTTAATTATTTTTTTCGTCCTTCCTTCACGATGCATTTTTAAGATGCAAAATGGTAGGATCCCAAGTTCCCTTAATTCACTGGTTCTTAAACAATAGTACAAGTACCACTGGTAGTACACGAGATGCGTCTAGTGATGCTTAAACTGTGAGATCACTGAAATGTAATTTAAAATGTGTTAGTAAGATGGTAAGTGGAGGTAAAATGAATGGTTTCTGTATGAACTGTCTGTAGCTGATTAGGGTGGGACTAGACTACTGTACATCAGCTAACGTGTTTTAGCAGGTGTTTGAAATTAATGCATTTACTTTATTATATACTCACTATCTAATGATGATTTTCCAGGCAGCAGAGTGCATTAAAACTGTGGTGTCTCGGCACAGAGAAAAATGCTAACCTCTGCATGCTAGTTCACTATGACAATGCTAACATGCTGTTGTTTAGTAGTTATAATAATCACCATGCTCAGTCTCTTAGTTTAGCTTTTTCGCATGCTACCATTTGCCAATTAGTACTTAGAGACAAAGTACAGCTGTGGCTGATGGGAATGTCATTAGTTTTGCAGGAATTGTGTCATAAACATTTTATTTTTGACCTGATGATGGCATTAGATCAGAACTCAGGGGATCATCAAAGTCAGAAGTTCAGAGTTAGGATTCATCTGCTGGGCACCATGAATCTCTGCACAACAAATTGTGACAATCCATCCAACAGTTGTTGAGATATTTAAGTCTGGATCAAAGGATTCTGTTATAATTTGAACAACTTCCATAAATGAGAGGACTGCCATTTCAACCTTTCACCTATAACTTGGTATGTATTTTATTATCTTAAATCATCCATGTTATACCATCAAAGTGACATCTGGCTGTCAATTTAAATCAGACCGTGACTGTGACTGCAGCAGCAGTGACAGTGGCCCCAGTGGCTCTAATCTTAATCATGTAAAACCAAAGTGTTACACCTGGGGCTTTGTTCTCCCTGCTGGACCATGTGACCCAGATGTGAGTGTGGTGTCTACTCAGTTTAAGGGGAAAACTTCTCTGCAACAACATGACTAATGCACATGTCATAATAATACAAATCCCGTCTTATACTGCGTGCTTGCTTTACTTCTGTTGCACGGTTGCCACAACCACAGGCGGTATAAAAACAAGCAAGAACAACTCAATGTACATTTGAAACAAGAAAACAAATTACCTATCTGCAAACAGAACACATGATCCAAAATGATGGCTGAACAAACAATGGCATAGGGCTTTTCTTTTTAAACTAAGCTTTGCACATAATATAGATACAATTGAATTAAACTTGAGTTAAATTACTGTAACTGCAGCAGCTGGTTTTGAGAGGAGTAAGTCTCTTAGTTTAGTTATTTCAGGTAAACCCCAGCACCCATTTGTCAGGTCAGAAAAAGACATAAACAGCCTGACACATTACAGGACAGCAGCTTGGTGAGTGGCTCCTCCCTCAGGGTCCCATTAGATTTGTTGAATGTTACCTCCTGTGGAATACAGTTCACTTAAAAATGAATAAAAATATGTAACAAATAATACATTTTTCATTTTCAATCAAAATAAATATGTGCTTTGTTAAAGGACCAGTGTGTAGGATTTAGTGGCATTTAGTGGTGAAGTTGCAGATTGCAACCATTTGAATACGGCAACAGCCTACCAAGCATGTAGGAGAAACTAGCGTGGTCATGAAACTTCTGAAAAACTTCCAGTCTGGGCTAGTGTAGAAACATGATGGTTAACATCACTGCCCTGCTCCCTCTGTAGATAAAACAGGCTCATTCTGAGGCACCAAAAACACAACAATTCCCATTTTCAGGTAATTATACACTAATGAAAACATACCTTTGAATATTATATTCCATTCCTGCCTGTAGATCCTCCTAAATGTTACACACTTAATGCAAAAAGTTTATGACATGAGTATAATACACTTCTGTTCTGTTCTTAAATTGAAATATGTTTTAATTAGAACATTTCTTCCACAGTAGTCAGGGCTTTTAGTTTTAGCACAGAATAAGTGAGGGGTGTTACCCACAGCACTTTTGATGAGGGGATGGAAAACATCTGTACAGCAGATACACCAGACATGCTCACTGTTTGACAGAACAGCTTGTTTGGTTTGAAGTCAGTCCAGCTCTGCAGTATTTTAATGCAACAAGTGAGTTACTATCTCTGCCTGGCATCATTGACGTAAAGAGCTAGAGTCCATTTTCTTCCGTCACAGAAAAAAGGATTTAAAGTCTCCCACTCATACACACAGAACTAACACTTAAAATGAACTTGAGCAGTACTAGCTTTTGTTTGATCAGTGAAATCCTCCTTTATTTGAATATGGGAGGAGGAGGGAAGATGTTTCTCGTGACGAATACAAATGACCATGGAAATAAGTAAATTCTTATTCCTATATTCAAATATGAGTGCCGAAAATCATTTGTATGATAATCCTTCGTGGCTGACTTCGGTTTGTGCGTGACTCCTGAATTATCCCAGCATTGTACACTTAAAATACTCTATATAACCCAGTGTATGTGTGTGATATAATTTATTGGAGAAGGGAGCATCCTATCAGCAGCCCCTTGAGGAGAGGTAATGTTTCTCATCAATAATCTTCCAGACAATAGCAGAATGTTTGTGGGAGATCTGAATGGAACTTTGAGCTCATACAGCTGCAACAACAGATACACAGGAAGGCTCAGATTTGCCAGATGGTGCTATGTGTTTAAAAAAAGGAGAACTTGGAGCTGTCGAATGTGGCCTTACTTTCCATTTGTAATGAATCACCATTGCATTTATTTAAGCAATCACCAATTTACCCTCTTTTCTTAAAGCACGCTTTGATGTGTAATAGAGGATTGCGTTATAATTACAACAAGGATAATTATTATGTTTTGGTCCATCAAAATGATAAATACAAAGATGCGGATTCATTTGACGGGTAAACTGTAATGATTTAATAGGCACTTTTCACAGCAGCTGCTAATACATTTGAGTGTTTATCTAGTCAGGCCCACAATACAGCAGCACTGAAGCTGCTTCTTACTCTGCTACACACATAACTTCTGCTATTTTGTATATCTCACACTTCATTGCATGCAGGTCAACAGAAGAATCAAACCTACAGGAACATTATGATCCCTAATACAAATGTTTACCTTTTTGATCAGTGATACAGTTTATTTCACCAAAGAAATGACTAGAAACATACACACTCTTTTAAAGTATAAAGAATAACTATTAAATACTACTAATTTTCTAGCATGTATTGAAACCTAGAGGGCACATATATCACAATACCTTGCACACTGGCCACCGTAAAGGGCACCAAATCATGTTTTATCCAACAAGAAAGCACTTTTGCGTATTATTATGATGGCTTTAGTAGGGTAGAATTTGGCAAATGAAATAGCTCAAGGCTAAACTACTAAACTATACAAAGTGACAACCCATGTGCTACTAGGTGCAGACAATACAAACATGCCCGCAAAGAACATCTGTGTCAATCAGAGTCCGGTCTTGGCCTCGAGTCATGCCAGCAGCTACCGATAGCACAAAAGGACTGAAGGCTTGCAGTAACATTTCTGCATTGCCAACACTAAAATGTGCTTGCAATAAATGTTTCCAACATGGACTATGATTCAAAATCCAAGAAAGAGGCCAAGACCACACAAGCGAAGCAAAATCTTGGATGTTTCTGTTTGGAAGAAAGTGGATAAAGAAAAAATCTGTCAAAGCATATTTTTCAGGCGTTGGTTGCTGAGAGCATCTCCACATGGGCATGAAAAGCTTCACAAACACAACTAACAACAACTTCTGTGAGACTGTGTGACAAAGCTCCTAGTGTTATAACTTAGTCTAACTTTAAAATGACGAGACTCTGGACTTAAAATCACCTCACCTTTAGTGAATGAAATAGGTTACTCACTCAAGGTGGCTCAAGATCACAAAGGGTGCATAACTTTGGCAAGAGCTAAAGCTAACCATGTCCATAACATTGCCCTTTTCTTTTCAGCTTTATGCATTATGGGTAGTGAAGTCCTTTTACTACAAGGTGTACTTATTACTTCACAAATCACTAATAAAATATTCAAATGAAATGTGTATTCTTTTAACTCAATGTTTTCCACGTGAACTGTTTTACATGAATTATTAACTTACCAACATGTTGTGAGTACAACATCTCTAAAAATAACAAGGATATGAATCCTAAATTCTGAGTCTGATGGGTTGAGATGGGTTTCTAAAAAAATCAAATGAAAAGTGAAATTATCTCGAGGTTCTTAGTGAGTCAGAGTCACTGCTATGAGAAACTTTCATGGAACATAACCTAATGACCTTGTGTTGGACTGTGTATGTAGTCTGCTTTTAGAAAAGGAAGATGGAGCGCTGACAAAAATCTTAATTTATATATTCCCCTTCAGTATCTTGTTAATATGTAGATGTATCAAATGTAAGAAAAGTAAAATACTGTGTTGGCCCAAATGTGTGACAACCCTGATTTTAAATTATCCCTTTCTCTAACACTTCCTTTTGGATAAATAGCATAAGATCAGATCAATAATCATTTTCATTCATTTCAATAAGCCATTTTCATAGGTGGAAATAAATCTGACACAGGGTGCAACTTACAAAGATACTGTCGGTCGGTGACAGAGTTTTGGAGTGACATTTTCCAGCCCACAAGAATGGGTTGGTTGGTGGTTGTGGTCCCCTGCTAGGTTACAGAGCTACAGGCAGCTGACCCAGCTTATCCCTGCATCAGCCATATCCTGTCAGGTATGTTGACCAGATGACCAGAATCATAGGAATTTGAATTTCTGACGAGACCTTCAAGCCAGGAAAGAAAGTCTGAAAGTGCCTGACTTCTCTCTAAAGGAGCCGGCTTTATCTCCACTCTGACAACAACACAGTGGACTTTCAGCAGGACAATTTCCTTAAGTGTCACTATTGTATAGAACAAAATAATAAAACATACACAATATCAATTTTGTTTACATACAGTTAACATTTTACTGTATCTGTCATTGCCTATGATGATGAGTCCCATGCATTTTGATCAAATGTCTCCCTCTAGTGGTATTTTTTAAAACACCCTCTCTATATATTACATACACCTACAGAGAAGGTAATTCCTTATAAAATGACATAACAGATCATTTACAATATTCAAGTGTAGCTACTGCTAACATGAAGCAAACACAAATCTACACCTTACTAGCAAAGAGTAAATGTATAAAAGCTGATCATCTGTACAACATACCAACACAGAATATAAAGCAATATTTTGAGATTTTCAGAAGGTTCTCTTGCCCGAGTTAGATTGTTAGAGTCAGATGAGAAGACCGACACCCTTTTCATGTCTGTATGGTACATTTTGTTGATGAGCCAACAGCAGGTTAGATTAGCTGAGCATAAAGACAGGACACACACACAGAAAGAAATCTTCCTACAAGCACCTCTAAAGCTCACTAATCAACACATTATATCTCCGTTTTTAGATTCTTGCAAAAAACATGTAAAAACATGTTTAAAAAAAAATATAAAAAAAATATATATATATTTGCACCAGGCTAGCTGTTTCCCCCTGCTTTCAGTCTCTGTGCTAAGCTAAGCTAACCAGTTGCTGGCTCCAGCTTCATATTTACCATATTAAAGTGGTATCAATCTTCTCAGCTATCTCTCAGCAAGAAAGTGAGTAACAGTATTTCCCAAAATATCAAACTATTCTGTTTGTGGTATTTGTAGGCAGTTCAAAATTATACATAAGTAACAGACATCTAACATACTAGCTCACAGAAAAGTTGATAAATAACTGGGGGGTAGCTCAAGTTTCTGTGTCCACAACTACATTCATGACTTTTTTGAAACTGCGAGTGCTGACAAGAGTCAGGCTTCCTGTGGTTTGCAGGCCAGAAGGTAGAAATACTTCACAGCCACCACCACATCTGTCTCCACAGAGGTCACCTTCATTATAGACATCAACCTGGGGAGAGGAACACAGCAGAGAGTGTGTCATCATTCAGTCTGAGGGTGTAGTGCAGGGACAACAGGAAGCTTACCTCTCAGACATATTCATTGTGAAGTGTGTGTGATTTGCATAAATGTGCGTACTGTACTTATGTATGCTGCCATTAGACATTTACCTTTCACATATGTCCTGGGAGAGTCTGGTGGCTTTCTGCGGGTCTTCTCTCAGCAGAGCCTGATAGCTGGAGAAAGACTCCACCAACCCCATGTAGCTGGACAGAGGCATGGACCTTTTCACGCATACACACTCTTGCCTGGGATACATTAAACACACACACACACACACACACACACAGAGTCCATATGAAGCTACTGTAGATGTAACGTACATGTCGTCCCATTTTCTTCAGTCTTTAGTTTACAGAGCATACTGTAGCATTACTTCTTTCATTTGACAGTGTTGTGCACAGACTAACTATAGAGGAAGAGGAGAAGGAAATCTGTCAAATTAGTCACACTAGGGCGCCCGGTTAGCTCAGTGGGTAGAGCTGGTGACCCATGTACTGGGGCTGAGTCCTTGCTGCAGCGGCCCAGGGTTTGAATCCGACCTGCGACCCTTTGCTGCGTGTCATCCCCTCTCTCTCTCTGCCCCCCTTTCCTGTCTGTCTTCAGCTGTCCTATCAAATTAAGGCAATAAAAGCCAAAAAAAATGCTTTAAAAAAAAATAAAAATAAAGTCCCACTAAGTGTGATTTTCCCCAAAGGATAAATTAAAGTGACCTTTTCCATGACAGAAAGAAAGAAAGGGAAAAAAAGACAAATATAAAAAAATGGCTGATAGCAGGAGGTAATGAAAATCTTCAGGTCTAGGCATGCTGTCACTCACCACTCCTTCTCAGGGTAAGGGATTGATTTATAGGCTTCCCGGTATAACTCAATAGAGCTGGGTCCAAGGTGGGGACTGCGGTAAGGTTGCAAGGCTGCATAAAACTGATAAAACAAACAAACAGGGAGAAATAAGATTGTTTATTTAACTCCATTAATGGCATGATATATAGGCTGAACCAGATATATTTTACTCACTCATTAATTTGCTTAAGCCATTTAAAAATAATCAAACTTAAATACAAGCCTAAAATCTATCCAGAGTTAGTGTAAACTATTCTTTAACCCCTGACATCAACACATAATCCACATTTTCACATAATTTAATAAATATATGCAAGCTGAGTGCAATTGATATAACTGTGCCACTCAGTCGAGGGAATATTTTATCCAAAAACCTCCACTAGATGGTGCTGTTTTTAATTGTGTAATGTGTCTGATGGTGATGACCGGCAGTGTATGTCAGTGTATTGTAGTTAGTTAGTTTATGGATCAGGCAGATGAGGCAGGTGGTGATGCTGGTGCTTTTGTGAATAGTATATTATACCAAATACTAAAGCATATGAGTTCACTGATCAGACTTTAGTCAAAGGAGAAACAACTTGGTTTAACCAAGGTCCATGTTCATCTAGCACTGCTTTTCTGGAAAGTATAGTCTCCTAAATGCTTTTTTAATACTGCATACCAAGATTAGAAATATAAACATACACAGTTTTGCTAGATGTGGTTGTTCTTTTACAAACAAGGAACCAAAATCTGCCTCGTCCATGACTATCAATAGGTCTCTGAAGCATGTGTGTTGATCACTATGGACAGTTTAGAAACTATATTGGCATAGATCACCCTTAAGTGATCATAAATGTATCTCTTTGTACAGTTTATGCACAGTTTACTGATCATGTTCATACCCATGTTACTATGCAAAACTATTTTCCCAGCCAAATGGCATTATCTCTATCTCTATACATGTGGCTGAAGGTGTATTAGTGCACATTTACAAAAAGGTGAATATTCTATTCTTGTAAGCACCTCTTTGCACACTTGGTTGAGTGTGTGTGAGCAGCAGTCAGGGTAGCTAAGCTCCATGTCAATGGTGTAGTTGAGCAAAGCCAAGCAGCCACGGGGTTTCAGGACTCTGTGGGCCTCCTGGAGAAAGCGTGGTCGGTCGAACCAGTGGAAGGCAGACATGGCTGTCATCAAGTCCACTGAGCTGTCAGCAAATGGTAGCTCCTCGGCCATACACTGTCTAAAGATGAAACAGTAGGAACTGCTAAAACTTCTGGCCACTGCTGAGGACCATGTGAGCAGAAATAACCCAAATATGACAATACAGTAGGCATGATGTTGATCCAGAACACAGCTGGTGACAGGATACAGTAAAGTTTAGGAGGTTTCCGGGTATCTGTTCTACTCTTTGCTGTGTAAATTTCAGTCCAGTGCTTAGTGCATCAAAAACTTTGTTAGTTCAGCACCAGTTTCTCAGTTCACTTATTGGAAATGTACTTTTCCCTTGCTGCTTCTATTCATATGATGCTTTGCCCAAGGGATTTACTCCTCCTCATAAAAATAAATGTGTGGCAGCAGTGGAATTCCTAACAACAAAATGTAAAGCACTAATAAAATAAATACAAATTAAAATGACAACATGCTACATTGCTTATCAAAGGCTCATCTTAGTACTGAACCTATAACCAACCCGTGCCAAACATTTTATGTTGTGTGTTGATGGGACATTTCTTCTGTTGCATGGGCCTTAGTGCATGACCGACTTTCACCAGACAAGGGTTACATTGTTCGGCCTTTGGCCAAGACTCAATGAAGTAGCTTAACAGTGTTTCAGAGCTGAATAAATAATGTGATGTTAATTGTAATGCTTTTTTTCTAAACATCTCACTATGCATTTTATTAGGCTTGCTTGATCTCTTCTTTAACCAGGGAAACATGGACTTTCAATTAAGGCACAAGAAAAATGATGAAAGACAACATGCTTTCAGAATGTATTCATGTATTTCACTGACTGTATCTTATTTATTTTTTGTTTAAGTTCTTGTTTTGAAAAATAGATAAATTGCAACTCTTGGTTGGTCCATGCTTACCTATATGTAATGTTTGGCTCTTTAGCATTCTGCAGAGCCACTTCCACCTGGGCAGGACTAACGTCTGTCCCCACCACAGAGACAAAGTGTTTAGCCAGCAGCACTGTCCCCTGTCCGGAGCCACAACCCACATCCACTGCCAGCTCAAAGGGATGACCTTTCTGACAAAATATTGAACATGTTATATGACGTTGCTGTAATGTTAGTTCTACCATTAACTATTTACAATAATTAATTAATTACACAGAGGGTACCAGCATTTTTCCACTTGTTCCTACCTGTTTTTCCAGAAAGTCAAGCACTTGTTGTATTAGATGATCTGATGGAGAGATCCTGTATTTCCAGTAGGAAGAAGCATGCTTCTTGCCTTCAAACAGACGATAAGTCATAGCTAGATGATACTTCTCTGAGCATAAGTTTTAAAAAAGAGATTATAGTAATCTATCTTATGATCTCGTGTTTTTCTACTGGATACGATGAGATAACTTCCACACTGAAAAGACTGTATATTCCTTTCTAGTGGCAGTCAGACACACACACACACACACACACACACACACACACACACATACACACACACACAAAAGAGGAAACCAGGCGGTGCCTGGGAACTGGGAGGTCCCACTACTTCAACTGGTACGTGGTATGTTTGATAATGGGGGCCTTTAAAGGGACAGGTCCAAAACTACATTTTTAATATGATGTGGCATCTGCTTTTAACTTGTTTTCTGTGGATAATTGGAATGCTGTGTTTTGAATGTAATCCACAATAATTATGTTCAATGGAAATTAAGGTCAAGCTCAAAGGTCTGTGTGGTAAAGGGTCAGCTTATGGGTCATGTGATGGTATGTGTTTCTGTCAGAACCAATAGAAACTCCTGCAGATGATGTGTATGGGGTACAAATGTACCCACACACGGCACGTGTACAATTATGTGTGCAACGCTGATTTCTTGCACTTTCTAATCTCAGGGCACTCTTTAACCACGGCTGTTTGTTACTCATTGTCAGTGTTGTGTCACCCTGATGTTGTGGTCGGCAGAATTTAATTACTTTCTGGTGTAAAGAGCAGTAAACATAAAGACATTTCAACAACGACTTTATTGCTCAACTGCATGAATACATTTTTTCAGTTTCAGTTAGTCTCCAAAACGTGCATGATGTGCTAAAACATAGTTTAACAGTAGCACAAGTAAAAAGTCTAACCCCCCTAAACTACAAAATATCTCAATAATGTCACCTACACAGCAAATATATATCCAAAGTTTGCTAACATTAGTGACCATGAGCTACTCGTCATACCAGGCTAAGTGAGGCAAAATAAAGGAAAGAATGTGTTATGTTTTCTTTCAAAAGTTACATAGTGCTGCTTTAAATGTGCCCCTTATGATGTGAGATGTCAGTTGTTGCTAACTGGAGTTTCAGCTTTCAACATTACACATTGGTTACCCAATATCTGTTCCTGTGCATATTCTATTTCTTAAGATTTGTTATTGAAAAGATAATTACTGTAGATTTTAAAACACAGAAATCTTCATAAAAAGCTGTACCATAAACATAAGTTACTGTGGCTTCTTTTACGTTGCACAATATAGGCACAATACAAACTGTCAGCAGCAGCAAGCAGGCTTCCACCTACTGAGAAAGAGCAAAGAATAAAGGAAGAGCACTGAAGCAGTAAAGTAAATGGACCACCAAGTATGTCACGAGGGGCCTGGCTAAAGAAAATACCCCAACTAAATGACTTCTCACTTTAGCTAAAACATCTTAGAACCCCTTCTGTGAATAAACAGTGGTAGGCATGTTATATTTCAAAAGAATTTCCAGTTATGTAACCTCTCAGTGTGCATTCAAGGCTGTAAGGAATCCTCTGTTCTATTGTGAAACGTTTTGAAAGATCCTACTCCAAGAATCACACAGCCAGTGCCACATTGTTGATTATTGCGGTTTTGATGCCAGGACACAGAAATATCCCATTTTCAAGTCCATTTTAGTGTCAGGAGAAGTGACTCCCATCTCCTCCAGAAACCTGTGAAGAAATGTAGTGACTGATTATTCAGACATATTCACAAAATGAATAACTGAAAAAGAAATACTGGATTATAATAACTGACATGTACAGTGTGTATACGCTGTGTGTGTGTGTGTGTGTGTGTGTGTGTGTGTGTGTGTGTGTGTGTGTGTGTGTGTGTGTGTGTGTGTGTGTGGACAGCTGACCTCTTCTGAGTGTTGAGCAGCAGGTCTTCAGCAGCCTGAGGATCTTTCGTCTTGTAAGCTTGGAACATGGACCAGGACGTGATGAAACCCACCAGGTTCCTCACCGAGATTGTCAGGTTCACCCAAATACACTCAATCCTGTTGTATGACTATACTGATGTATCATTACATAAAAAACACTGTCTTTGACATAATTTAACTTTGCATATATCACTAATTCAAGATGGCTTCATTACCGTTTTAAGGAACAAGCGCAGATTGTGATTTCAGCCCTGAACTACTTTGTTATTTCCTGTCTTTAATAAACTAAAGGAAGACAGAGGTACAAAATTGCTGGTTTGGGGTTTTGCATTCTCAGTTACTTCTCCTTGCCCTGTCTTACTGATTTACAACTTAATACTCTACAGTCATTGATACTGTGTTTAGTTACCTCGGAGGTGTGTTTAGGTTGGTTAGGTACAGTCAGTGTTTGAGTGATAATTACCTCTCTTTGTCTGGAAAAGGAATGGCTGTGTAGAGGTCTTCCAGCTTACTTTCAGACACAGCTACTTGGTTGCTAGTGTATGGCAACAGCACCTGCTTCACCTGGAAGTGAATGTATATGAATGTTTAACTTGTTCATTTACGCATTGAGCTTGTACTGCATGTGCTTTGTAAATAATATATATATATATATACGTATATACATAAACAAATAAACCAATAAACAAGATAACATTTAGGATCAATGGTTACCATTGTAAACTTTATCTTGACGGGGTACTTCTTTTTTTGGGAAATATATTTATGCTTTCTTTTCAGGAATTGGATGGGAGGGTTGATATCTATCCCGTGCCTCTGCATTAGGTGCAGATCTGGATGTGGGTGGGTTTTTTTTTAGCTCAGCATAAAGACTGGAGAAAGGGGGAAACAACTAGCCTGGCTTTGTCCATTCTTTAAAAATGTGCTTACCAACACCTGTAAAAGACAGAAAGCTTTGTTGTTTATGTCTCCACAACAGCAGTGTATATATCTGATGCACACTTCATCGTCAGCTACAGATTTGGACGGTAAGCACACGTTTTAGTATATAAGTCTGAGTACAATCATGATGTGTACTAAACCTGGCAACCGCACTGTGATTGGTTCACCCAGAAATAATTTTTTTGTTTTTACATTTCTGTGCAGATAAAAGTGACATTAGTAAGATTAAGAGGTGTTTGAGTGAATTTTAAACTTTGGATGGAACCAGGTTAGGTGTTGTGCTGCGCCTCCAGTCTTTATACTAAGCTAAGCTGACCATGTCCTGACTCCAGCAACTGAACTGTTCAATTTAGCATTGATGAAGGTGATTATATTTATGTTGCCACTCCTTTTCAGTGTGTTACTATTACGTTTAGGCATTGGAGATGGAGCCACTTTGTGTCAACAAAACTTTGCACTGCTGATAAGGTTTAACATGACTCCAATGAAAGTAGAGCTCTAACTCTACACCCACCTCTTCATAGATGTGATTGAGTCTTTCTCCACAGTCCTGATAGTGAAGTCTGGTGTCAGAATCAGCGAAGCCAAGCAGAGCCATGCAACCCCTGGGTTTTAAAACCCGACTTGCCTCAGCCAGAAACCTCGACTGATCAAACCAGTGGGCCGCTGACGCTGCTGTCAACAAGTCAACAGAGCCATCTGGAAAATGAAGGTCCTCTGCAGTCCCCTTCCTGCAGGTGCAACAGTCAGGTCACTCTTGTAACTCCAAATACTTCTGGGGTGCTATCATTTCAAAGTCATACTTTATTTTAAAAGCATAATGAGGTCCACACATACAGATTAACTCACACACTCTTACCTGTATGTGACGTTAGGGTAACCTGGCACAGCTCTGGCTACCTCCAGTTGACAATCACTGACGTCGATGCCCACCACCTCCTGGAAGTGCGGGGCCAGTAGCCGGGAATTCTGACCTGTCCCACATCCCAGATCCACCGCCAACACGTGTGGCTGTCCTTTCTGAGGATGTTAACAGATATGCAGTACTTGTTGATATCAATATATTGAATACTTTTTTGCTTCATTTTGCTCACCAAATAAGCAGAAACTCTTATTAAAGGGACCTGCACACCTTATAATAACACAATGTAGGCTTCTGTATATCCACAGTATTGTATTTGTTCATGGCATACGCTTTTATGTTTTTATGTAAAGTGTCTTTGAGTATTTAGAAAAGTGCTTATAAATAAAAATGTATTATGGCATACCTTTGTATTTAGGTACTGAAGAATAATGTTCTTGACCTCTTCCGGAGGCGTAAAGCGATACTTTTGGTAGATGGAGGCATGGTCCTTCCCCTCAAACAGCCGGAATGTCATTGTGTTGTTATATTCACTCTTCTCTTTCTATTTTGCTGCCAATTTCTCCGACCTCCAAAACAGCCTCCTTTGTTTCTCTTTATTCTCCTTCAGTCTCCTGTCTGGTTTGCCCTTGTTCAGTTTCCTTGCTTTTAGTCTCTTTTATCCTCTATGTTTCTTTTTATGTTGCGTCTTCTTGTGTTCTTCCTGCGTCCTGTTTTCAGAAAACCTGCTTTCTGCCCTGCCACTCACACGGTCTGCACTCTTTTAACTCTCCACCCACTTCCTGACTTGTAGTTTCTCCCATGTGTTTTGACACACAGGGAAATAATCACTGAGTTAAACAGTCAGTACAGATATTTACAACTTTGAAGATAGTGCCACACAGAGTAAAACTGATTCTTTTGTTAATAAAATACAGAAAGGGTTTTCAGTTCAGAAAGCTGACCCTCATTCCAGGAGTCTGAAAGCTCAGCTGCACATTATTCAGCAATTACATAACAGAGTCTTGCTTAACCCTTTCATGGCCAGAAGATTTTCAGCTGGTTGTATATTAACAGCCACATAAACATAATAATGAATTATATTGTGAAGTTACAGTGTAAAGAAGTGACAAAACACAGCCTCTTAGTTACTACAGTTCTCCTGGCGTATTAAGTGTATCTGCATGTGCAATTCTTTTTGCAAATGACAAAAAGTCACATGGCACATGATTGTAAAAACACATAATATATATATATTTTTTTTTTAATTCAGCACAGTCACAAGTGTTTTTTTAACAGACACATTTCTGGGCATTACAAGGATGACACTGTCTTGAGTTTCAATTAGGAACCAATATGGCAGCACACGTCTCCTTCTGTCTCTAACTGTGACTGTTTGTTTTACTAATATGACAGAGTGATTTTTCTGTAAGTCATCTGCGCACATTATCATTCAAACATGTTTGCATGCAAGACTTTTGCAAGACCTGGATCGCCTCTCCTTGGACTATCTGAGCCTGGGAGGACACGCCGTTGATCTATCAGGGTAGTGCATGTTCCTGCTGCTTTTTGCTGCTGCCCGGGGTCGGTTCCGGCTGGTCCAGTTTATTAACTTTGTTCGGAGCGATGTACCGGCCTGATTTCCTGTTTACGTCTGACGACACGAAACGTATTGCCCTGAGTTGATCGGGTGGTTGGGAAACCACAGAACGGATTCCTGGAGGACTCTCCCTGCACTAATGTGTGGCGTCGTTGATTGAGGTGAAATAGTCTGGCTGCTTTTCCTCCTCGTGTTTCGGGATCTCAACGTACAATGTCGCTGCTCGTGGCTGCCTTTTTCCTATTCATTTGGAGCGGCACCGGGGAAAACTCCCGTCCAGTGAACTCTACTCCGGTTTTACCCTACCGGGGGGACGAGCGCTTCTGGCAGTCCACTGGGCATTAGTGTGTCACCTGTGACTCTTCTGCCCCCCCTCATCTATGGACCTGGCCCGTCTGGTCAGCCTGATGGCTTTACAAGACAACTTTACTATTCCTTCAAGTTGCCTTCGTGACTTTTTTTTTTTATAATTTTAAAGATTAAAAAAGATCCTTCAAACAAATCTATAAGGTCTGATTATAGATGTATAATTGTTCTGTTGCTGCTGATTTCAGGGAATGTAACCCAGGCCCAGGGTCTGCTGAGTCTGCTGTTATTTTTAACACCCCTGCTGAATTTAAAACGAGGTCTGGACTTGGTTTCATCCATTTAAATGTGCGCAGTGTGATTGCAAAATTGGATATGATTCGTATCTGGGCTCATACAACTGATGCTGATGTTATTATCATATCTGAAACTTGGCTAAACAAAGCAGTTTTAAACAAGGATATCAACATTGACGGCTATAATGTGTATAGGACTGACCGACCCAAAAAAGGGTGGAGGGGTTGCAGTCTATGTCAGATCTAAGTTTCATGTGAAGATCCGTCTCTCTACATCAGTGAGTAAGCAATTTGAACTTCTGGCTCTTGACGTGGAAATCTCAAAAACTCTCCATATGACTGTCGTCGGCTGCTATAGGCCACCTTCAGCTATCAGCTGCACCTTACCATCGTTAATGGAGCTTTTATCTGGGTTGAACTTCAATGAAATTGTCTTTATTGGTGACCTTAACTGGAACTGGCTGCTACCAGCATCAGACGATTTTAAAGCATTTTGTGATTCGTTTAATTTATTTCAGATTGTTGACAGCCCTACTAGACCTAATATGAAATGTCCGGAAAAATCCTCTTTAATTGATCTTATTTTAACCGATGTTTCTCATAAATATTCTGCTGCTTCTGTTTTTGCCAATGACATCAGTGTGTCATCTGCAACAGTAAAAAAAAAAAAACTTCAACAAAAAAACCCCTAAAAAAAAAAAGGAAATTTTTGTGGAGCAAGCATTTTTTCATGAGCTGTTTCTATTTTGCTGGGAGAAAATTAATGTCATTTCTGATGTTGAAAATGCCGGAAAAGTTGTTAACAAGCACGCTCCTTTTAGGAAGTATAGAATAAAGGGCAGGGATAATGCATGGTTCACACCAGAGTTATCCAACTTACTCCATGAGCGCAATGTGGCATGGTCTAAAGCCAGGAGTACTGGTCTTGGATCAGACTGGCTGCTCTTTAGGCAGCTGCGAAATACAAGCACAGTGGCAATTAGAAAAGCCAAAGCTGATAATTTCCTTACTGAAACTTCAAATAACCTAAACAATCCATTGAAATTCTGGAAAACCATTAAATCATTAACTGGAAATAAAAATGTTACTGTGCTACCTCCATGCATTGTCAAAGACTCTACCCAAATTTATGAAAAGGCTGACATGTTTGGCTGTTTTAATGGCATTTTTTGCTCTGGTTCCTTTTAATCCAAACACGCTCAGGTCCTCGCTTGCTCTGATAGTAGTTGTTTTTTGAGGGACAGCTTTACTTTTGGCGCTGTTTACACATAAGGCCCTGAAATGTTACAATGAAACAAAAATGGCGGTCCAGACCATCTTGAAGCCTACTCCTAAGTTAGCTGCTGATTTTATTGCATCGCCTCTGACTTATCTTTTTAATGGAGACAAACGAATTCCCCTTATTTGGAATCTGCCTTTGTTCTCCCACTGTTAAAAGGGGGGACCCCACTGTGCTAAACAACTATAGGCCCATCTCCAAACTGTTTGTAAATAAGGTGTTGGAATCCATTGTAAGTCAACAACTGAAGGACTTTTTATCAACAAACAGTATTTTATCTGAATTTCAATCTGGTTTTGGGAAACAACATAGTACGTCAACAGCTGCTTTAAAAGTGGTGAATGATTTTATTTAATTTTTAGACAATAAGCAACATTGTGCAGCCCTTTTGGTTGACCTATCAAAGGCTTTCAATGCTGTGGATCATGCCTTATTGTTAGAAAGACTCTGTAGCATCAGTTTGTCTGATCAAGCTGTCGGTTGGTTTAAAAACTATTTATCAGGCAGATCTCAGTGTGTGCGAGCAGAAGGTATTACCTCTAGCTCTCTTAATGTATCCAAGGGTGTGCCACAGGGATCGGTTCTAGGAACTTTATTATTTACTATTTACATTAATTGTCTGGATTGTAAAGCCCCGAACACAAATTTTCACTTTTATGTCGATGACACACCAAATCAGGCTCTTTGTCAGCTCCAAATTGCTTTTAACACTGTGCACAAAACCTGTGTGATTTAAAACTTGTTTTAAATGCTGACAAGACAAAGCTCATGCTGTTCACAAAAGCTAAATCAAAGCCCTCGGACCTCCCTCCTATAACCACTTTGCAGGGCTCTATCATTGAATCTGTGTCTCAATATAAATATCTGGGAATTATAATTGATGATGCTCTCTCTTTTAAACCTCATATCCAGCAGCTTTTGAAAAAACTAAAGATAAAATTAGGTTTTTACTTTAGAAACAAATCTTTTTTTTCTTTTGAAGCCAAAAAAAGACTTGTTGCTGCAACCTTTTTGTCTGTGTTAGACTATGGTGATGTTTTATATATGCATGCATCTTCAAAATACCTACAGTCTTTGGACAGGGTCTATCACGGAGCACTGAGATTTGTTACTAATTTTAAAACCCTCACGCACCACTGCTCTTTGTATACTCGAGTTGGATGGTTTGCCCTGTCCACCCGCAGACTCCATCATTGGCATATCCTAATTTATAAAACTATCCTCTGTGTTCTTCCTACATACCTGCAGAAGTATGTAATTCAGAAAAGCACAGGAACTTATCAGCTCCGCTCTGAGGACTTGTTTTTATTGACTGTGCCAAGAGTCCATACTGAACTGGGGAAAAGGGCTTTTAGTTATTCTACATGGAATCAACTGCAAAAAGTGCTAAAACTTAATCCTTTCTTAATGATGTTGAAGCTGGCTCTTCTGTCTGTACATGCACTGTTTGATGATGTTCTGACTGTGACTCTATTCATATGTTCTCTGTTGTTTTTAAATGATTGTCTGTAACTGTGGAACTGTGCTGCTGCCTGTCTTGGCCAGGACTCTCTTGTAAAATAGATTTTTAATCTCAATGAGACGTCTCCTGGTTAAATAAAGGTTAAATAAATAAAATAAAAACAAGACGGTCTTGCTTTCATACAACACATGTTTATTGCATTTTATGACCTAGCTTCTTTTCTTATTTAAATGTTCAGTGTGTATGATTTAGGGGACTTTATCAGCAGAATATGGAAGAAATGTAATATATTTTTTATTGCTGAAACACATCAACAGTCCAGGAGGAGAGGGAAGAGATGCTTGTCCATGCTGGCCCAACATGGACTTAAGGCTGAGGTCCGGTTTTGGACAAAATGGGACTGGCCAAACAACAGGATATAAGAAACTGTTGCTCAAACGCAGTCAGAGTGAATGGACACTTTCTTTTTATGTGAAGATGAAACCAGATTATCATCACTATGTTGTTGCTGATGTTTACATTCAGCCAGATTTATTTATTTTATCTTTATTCTATTTTATTTATCTTTTATGTTATTTTATGAATTTAATTATCTTTTTTCTGTGTGTGCAGCATGAAGGAACTACAAACTGTCATTTCTTTAGGCCTATACAACCATGTCAGAGCCTTTTCGGGGCAGATGCATGACCTTTTAAGGAAATTTCTGTATTTTCTTACTTTGCAGCATTTCATTTAGCAACCTCTAAAACCCCTTTTATAACGGCAACATATAGGGTGAGGCTGTGTCTGTCAATTTTTGTAACTTTCCGTAATGACTTCACCCACTTTACACAGTGATTGCCCAGCTGCAAGGAATTATGGAAACATTTGGAACATTTGGAACTTATCACCAGTTTAAGTCTGTTGACATATTTGCACTTACACACAAAATCTATCATGCTACTTTTTTTTCTATTTTTCTATCTTATATGATTTGTGAATTAAGTTTAGCGCTTGCGTTTAACAAAATAATCTTAGATAAAAGGTCCTCTTACTTGCTTCTCAGGGCTTATATCAGTTTTCACTCTGAGGGTGTTCTTAGGAAAAGTAATGACTGAGCATATTGTTCAATTAATCTTGATTTTAGAATCTAAACACCTCTTTGTCCTACTTACAGTGTGCTTATGTGTCAGTGCATTTGGCTATGCTCTTACATTCAGATGACAAAATGTGAGTCACTTCCAGCCCATTTGTGGTGTTATGTTTGACAAGGTTAAGACCCTACATAAAAGTACAAAAAGTTTGTGACTACTACTGTCATAACAGTCTACAAGCATGTGTGGGGTCACTAGGTCAGTCATCTCTGTCTTTCCTAACCACTGAGTAAACCTATTGTTGATGTCGAGTGTGTATTTGTCGAAGTTTGTGGTTCATTCTCTTGACCATTTACTAAACTGAAAAACATCTTTGTTTTGGTTAGGTTACTAAGGACGGCCCTCCACGGTAGCAACGCATGTTTAATTGCTCTCAAGGGACAATGGAGATAATGACCTGTTGACCATTTCAAACTTAATTATTCTACATTTATAACCTTTGAAGAATAAAGCATACAGTGTCCCGTCCCTTGGGATCTCATTAGTCTTGACATCATCAAACACCGCATCAGAGGAGTTGAGCTGAACTCATATGTATCACATGTGATGTCCTTTTTCTTCAACCAAAACACATCTCAAGCCAGAATACAATGACACTATTCCCCAACCTATGTGTTTCAACACCTTGTGAAGATACACTAGGGATGTCAGGGCAGTGATGGGCATTAAGGAGGGCTGAGGGACTAATAAAAGTCATTACAGTATCCTTACATCACTAATGACATGACCTATGTGTGACCAGTTGTTTTGAAATAAGATAAACAAAATATAAATTATTATCATATGCTTTTCATAGTACTGTTTCATGTTTTTCTTCAGATTCTTCTGAATGACTCAGATTGGCACATCGAGGTGTGCATAAGTTAATGGTGAACACTTGCATGAGGTTGCACTAATGCCTCATTATGAAGACAGGTTTAAGAAATTATTTAATAATCAATCATCTTTTCTGTTTGTGAGTTCTAGACTTGAATAATGCTGAAACCTCCAAAATGAGATTCTTTTAAATCTACACATTTACTTTGTCTATTCTCCCATCAAATCCAATGACAATGAGTGGATTGAGCCTGCGGTATTGTCTATGTAGGTCTGATATATTCCTCTGTGCCACAGAGTTCATTGTTGTCCAAAACTATTAAAAACACATCAGCGGGCCACCCTGTTGCATTGGGTGACGCGTTCCTTCATCGCAATGAACATGGGCACTGTAGTTTAGTAAATCATGAATGCTACATTGGCCTGTTGCTATCAGACCAAATATGCCTCAGTAAGCTTCAAAATAAGAGACTGTCATTTAACCACATCTGAAACCCTGTGAGTGCACCAGTGGTTGTGTCTGACCATTTTTGTAACTTTCCAAATGACACCCACTTTAGACAGTGATTGAGTGAGGAGTTGTGAAAGTAGGCACAGTCGACTGATCGCTCAAGCGTCCTTTGTACACTGTGCGACACCATGTATGCCTTCAAGGAGAGAAAGGATGGGTCCGTAATACCCATTTGTACAGTTCATCGCCTCTGGCCTCTCTTTGAGTCGATGTATTTCACATCAGTCATTTCAGCGAAGAGTGACAAAGCCCTCTAGTGGCCATAGAAATTATGATGGGAGCAAAGGAGGTAATAAGGGGGTATGGAGGAGGTTGGATGCTTGCCCTACCCTCACAATAAAGGATTTTAGGTTAAAGCCAGTGAAAGTAGAACTGTGAGACTGAAATGAAGTGCTAGCACTTAATTGTAAATTTAGTTCAGCGTTCACTCTGGTCCAACCTCTCCTATCTCCTCTCACCCCGCTTAAACTTATTCATGTGCACTGCATGGATTGAGGCCCTCTGATTCTTCGCCATAATAAATCATGTACATCTAATGTTAAGTCATATGTATCAAAGTCTCCTGTCTACTAATATATTAAAGAGAACCTTGTGAATAATGAGTTAAACTGAAATAATATACCGGTCTAAATCCATGCAAGCAGGCTGTACGTCATGCTAACATGTTCACAATGACAATACTAACAAAACATGCTGATGCTGGTAGCAGGTATTTTTACCATGTTTGCCATGTTAGGTTAGCATGTTTTGTTATATTTCACCAAAGAGATTATTCCTCCTGAGGGTGGCAAGAATGTGTGTGTTTTGATGGCAATCTGATTTGATTGGCACCAAGGATATCTGTACCAAATGTCATAGAAATCGATCTGACAGATGTTGAAATACCAACCTCTGTCTGTACCAAAGTGGTGGACGACCGACCGATATTGCCATTCCTATATTTTTAATAAATCAATTAAATAACTGCAATCACCCTTTCATCATCATTAGGCTAAACTAGTATACTTTGAACACCCACGAGCCACCAGTAAGTTGTTATTGGAATTAAAACATCAATTCTTGAGGTGACAAAATCCTAGAATAATGCTTAATTGTTTTAATCCCGGATTTGATTTGGAATTGAGGCCACCGACTTCTTTCTAATCTGAAACTGCAGTGGAAAAGCAGATTGTCAATATATGCTATCAACTGATACAGCCAGTTAAACTGCCACTGACAGTTTCTTGCCAATTTATAGACATTTTTGTTATGAAAGTCAAGCATTTTTTCATCGTCGCCATCAAAATTGTGTTTTTGTGTTTATCCTATTTTTCACACATTAACTTTTTCCCTGATCCCTGGTGTTTGACTCGATGACATATTATGCTTTGCTTTGAAATATACAGTGATGGATATTTAGTTGTCTTGTTTTCGGTTATTTTAGTTAGAACAAAGTTTCCTTTTTGTTAAATCAGAGGTTATTGCTTTGGAATTTTGTTTTTGTCATCATTATGGATAAAAACCTTCATTAACCCACGTATATATCTTCTTGTATAATGCAACATTTAGATTAAATGCACTCAACAACCCGCAGTGATTTTTCTATCGTAGCTTTGATGGCATATGACAGCTATGTGGCTCTATGTCGACCTCTAGTGAACCGTTCAGTTATGACAAAAGTCTCAGTCTCCATCTTTGTGCTTTTATCCTGATTTTTCCCTCTTTATTGTATGTTTATGAACACAGCAACGTTATTAGGAGCAAGGTTATGTGGCTCACACATAAATAGGATCTACTGTGTTAACTGCTACTCTTGCTTGCTCACCAACCAAAGCAAACGCTGTGGAACACATTTATTTTTTGGTCTTACGTGTATCTGGTAAGAACGTGCAGATCATCTAAAGAGAACTGGGCAAAGTTTATGCAAACATGCTTAACAACAACTGTGCTTTTAGATTGACTGTATATTGATATGATTTGATTTGATTTTCTTGTCATGCTGCCTCATGGGCTTACAAGACACACAAAAATAAATAAATACATAAATAAATTCATTCATAAATTCATTAAGACCTTAACAAAGTTATGGAAGTGGCATTTCTGCTTATTCCTCTGACTATGAATCCACTTATATATGGATTCAAACTTAGTCAACAAAAGTTTGAATTTAATTAATATCAGAAGGAAAAATGTGTCATCCCATGATCTTTCCTATTGGACAACAGGTTAGAAAACAAATCAGTTCCTTTTTTTATATCTAAAAATGAAAATTTGATGGCAGGAATATTTATCTGTTTCATTTTTCTTTAAGTTATTGTACTGACTGAAAGATTGTTGTTAATTTAACGCTCTCTTCATTTTGACATTAAAAGCATCTTATCTACATCACATAAAAATATTAATTAACTCTTTGTTCATTGCAAATGTTCTGTTATTCTGTATTCTCTTGTCACATGATGGCAGAAAGGTGCGTGTATCACATGTTTTGTCAAGGATCCCAAATGATCTGATGTTAAGAAAAATTTTTTACTGTTAAATAATCAAATAAACTGCCTAAAACAAAAATACTATCTGCAGTTAGGTTCTTTAACGTCGAGTGTAACTTTCAGGAGGATCTATTGGCAGAAATTTAATATAATATAGGTATGTTTTCATTATCATCTAAAGAGAACTGGGCGAAGTTTAAGCAAACATGCTTAACAACAGCTTCCATCCTAGATTCCCCATGGTGTTATGACTTCGATGACATAATTATGTGTGACAAGTTAAATAGGCTTTCAGCTTCTCCTGCAAAACCACAGGGGTTACCTGTCATGCCACAGACCACACACGGACAACATGAGGAACCTTCAGGGTTGGTGAAAAACACTGGATTTAAACATTTAATACAACTGAAACTGTAGCCATTGATACTACCTTGCTTATTGTTGATGTTGTTGATTGTTGATAACATATTATTCAAATGTTTTTAACTTACTTGTAATCCTCTTCCATCATTTATCACTTTGGAAATCTCTGTTCTCTCGTTTGGTTCAGTTCTCTCTGAATACCAAACCTTGGGATAACAGGGAGCTGCAGCTGTATCCTTACTGTTGACAGGATCCAGCTGAAGAATTTTCTGTATTCACTAAACAATCTCTGGTACTGTTTATGGGGTAAATGGAAAACAGCACTAATCCCCCCTATTTTAACCTCACTATGTTTGTGAACATAGGCAACTACCGCTACCCAACATTTGTCTTGTGTTTCCTGTTGTACACTTTTATTATCTCAGCCAATCTTGTCATAATAGTGGTAATATCACGAGAGAAAACTTTACATGAGCCCATGTATATTTTTATTATGTGTCTCTCTTTTAACTCTCTGTACGGCTCTGCTGGCTTCATCTTCAGATTTCTGGGAGACCTCCTGTCTGATACTCATTTGATCTCACGACCGGCTTGTTTCACTCAGATCTATGTCATTTACACCTATGCGTCTTACGAGCTCACCCTTCTAGGCATTATGGCATATGATCGGTACGTTGCTGTATGTCAGCCTTTACACTACCACAACAAAATGACTTCCAAGCTGGTCTCTAAATTGGTCTTCTTGGCATGGATCTATCCGGCCTTTTCTGTTGCAGTCTGTGTTTATCTGGCGTCCAGACTTCCACTGTGTGGCAATAAGATACCAAAGGTATTCTGTGCCAACTGGCCTGTTGTAAAATTGTCATGTGTCACTACTGTGCTTAATAACCTGGTTGGCATGTTTGTGTCTACAAGTACAGTCTTCCTGCCCCTGGCTTTTGTTCTTTATACGTATGCCCGTATTTTTCTCGTTTGTAGGAAACGCTCCAAAGAGTTCAAAGGCAAAGTCATTCAAAGCTGTCTGCCACACATTATTACGTTTGTCAATTATTCCATTACTGTGTTTTGTGATGTTGCTCTCAGTAGAACTAATCTTGAAAATATTAATCCATTTCTAGCTGTAATTTTATCACTTGAGTTTGTTGTGATTCCTCCTATTCTGAATCCTCTTGTGTATGGCCTGAAGTTACCAGAAATAAGAAAACTTATGCTAAGAATGATATCATGCTCAAAGCCTGATTAACAAATGATACCTTAGAAATAAGGATAACGCAATTAATCTGTGCTGTTAGTGATCTTATGTAGAGTTCTTTCATCAGTACTTTAAAATCTCTCATTTACACACTTGGCTGCAGCAATGATGTGACATATTAGAGGTACTGAATACCTGTGCAAACACATTTCTTTTAATATTGATATTAAAAGGTATTTTTTTCTGTTGATCAATGGAAAAAATCTCACTTACGGTGTATTCAGTGGTGTCACAAAATAAAATATATGAGAAAAAAACTCCAAGGCACTAATATTTTTCTTGTACATTTGGATTGACAGAAAAATAGTGTGTGATGAAAAGTGGCATTATGAAATAAAAGCATCACTGGGAAAAATGTCACTGTATTCTCTGATACTTCCATAGCTGGTGTCATGGGTCATTTTACTGGTTACGCTTATGCTTTGAAATATACAGATGATGGAAAATATTTAAGTTGTCTTGCTGTTTTCTCTTTCAGGTTAACTTTTAGATTAGAACAAAGAATTATCCTCTTCTTGTTAACATTAAAGAGGTACTTAATGATGCTTTTGAGAAATATTTTTCTGATTGTTGTCATTATTATGGATAAAAACCTTCATTAACCCACGTATATATCTACTTGTATAATCTAAACATTTAGATTAAATGCACTCAACAACCCGCAGTGATTTTTCTATCGTAGCTTTGATGGCATATGACAGCTATGTGGCTCTATGTCGACCTCTAGTGAACCGTTCAGTTATGACAAAAGTCTCAGTCTCCATCTTTGTGCTTTTATCCTGATTTTTCCCTCTTTATTGTATGTTTATGAACACAGCAACGTTATTAGGAGCAAGGTTATGTGGCTCACACATAAATAGGATCTACTGTGTTAACTGCTACTCTTGCTTGCTCACCAACCAAAGCAAACGCTGTGGAACACATTTATTTTTTGGTCTTACGTGTATCTGGTAAGAACGTGCAGATCATCTAAAGAGAACTGGGCGAAGTTTAAGCAAACATGCTTAACAACAGCTGTGCTTTTAGATTGACTGTATATTGATTTGATTTGATTTTCTTGTCATGCTGCCTCATGGGCTTACAAGACACACAAAAATAAACAAATACATAAATTCATTCATTCATAAATTCATTAAGACCTTAACAATGTTATGGCAGTGGCATTTCTGCTTATTCCTCTGACTATGAATCCACTTATATATGGATTCAAACTTAGTCAACAAAAGTTTGAATTTAATTAATATCAGAAGGAAAAATGTGTCATCCCATGATCTTTCCTATTGGATGTGAGCTCTCAGGCAACAGGTTAGAAAACAAATCAGTTCCTTTTTTCATATCTAAAAATGAAAATTTGATGGCAGGAATATTTATCTGTTTCATTTTTCTTTAAGTTATTGTTGTAATAACTGACTGAAAGATTGTTGTTAATTCAACGCTCTCTTCATTTTGACATTAAAAGCATCTTATCTACATCACAAAAAAATATTAATTAACTCTTTGTTCATTGCAAATGTTCTGTTATTCTGTATTCTCTTGTCACATGATGGCAGAAAGGTGCGTGTATCACATGTTTTGTCAAGGATCCCAAATGATCTGATGTTAAGAAAAAAATTTAACTGTTAAATAATCAAATAAACTGCCTAAAACAAAAATACTATCTGCAGTTAGGTTCTTTAACGTCGAGTGTAACTTTCAGGAGGATCTATTGGCAGAAATTTAATATAATATAGGTATGTTTTCATTAGTGTATAATCAGTGTTACCTCATGATGCAAGAAAAATGCAGATTAACTTTATAGTGCTCAAAAGAACTCTAGTGTCATCTCAAAGGCTCAGTGTGTAACATTTAGCTTCACCGCTTTTCCTTCCTTGGACCACTTTTGATAGGTACTGACCACTGCAGACCGGGATCACCCCACAAGAGCTGCAGTTTTGGAGATGCTCTGACCCAGCCGTCTAACCATCACAATCTGGCCCTGGTCAAAGTCGCTCAAATCCTCACGCTGCCCGTTTTTCCTGCTTCTAACACATTAACTTTGAGGACAAAATGTTGCCATAATCAGTGTTATTCACTTCACCTGCCAGTGGTCATAATGTTAGCCGTCGGTAAGAGATTGAATAATGCAAAAACAAATGAAAAAAAGAAGGGGAGCATCTTAACAAGGATAAAAACCTCACTGGCTACACAGAGCGTAGAGATTGTGATGTTTTTGTGACATACAATATCAAAAAACTGAGCACATCCTCTCTGCAGACACACTGAATGTACAGTATGTACTGTGAAATGAAGCGACTTTCAGGTGTGTGTTACTTACTATCTGACCGATTACTTGGCTGGTGGAAAAGTCCCTCTAGATCTGACCTTTGCTCATATAGTGGTGTATTCAGCACTTCTGAATACACCTCAGCAACTGCAACTGACCAGAAGACAATGGCACTAAAATAATCTATAGTGTTATTAGCTTCCACCATAACTCCTCTGAATGAAGCGAAACAGGACGTTTTTTAGGCTTAAGCAGAACTTTAGCAAGCCAAAATTAAACTTTAGTTAGACTTAGGTATTATCTTGTTTATTTTGGCTTTCAGAGTGCGACAAGCTGAATCGCCTCCAGGTCTTTGATTGGTTGGTTTGAATTCCCAGCTCGTGTGCTGCTGTATTCAGACAAGATATTAACAGTGAGATGAGGCAAAAGAGTTAATGGGTACTCAGCACAAGACATGATGGATAATGTTTCGCTGATAACAATATTTTTTCTTTCAGGTTTAAATGAAACAAAGAACCACAGGTTTACTCTCTTCTGTCTCACTTTGCTGTGTTACTGTTTTATTTTGCTGGTAAATCTTTCTCTTATTGTGACCATCATCTTGGATAAACACCTGCATGAACCGATGTATATTCTATTGTGCACATTTTGTGTGAATGGACTTTATGGGACAACAGGTTTCTACCCCAAGTTTCTCTGGGATCTGCTCTCTCCTGTTCATGCTATCTCTTATTCTGGATGCCTTGTTCAGGCTCTGGTTATGTATTCATACGCCTGCAGTGATCTGTCTATTCTAGCAGTCATGGCATATGACAGATATGTGGCTATATGTCGACCTCTGGAGTATCACTCGGTCATGTCAAAGCAGAGACTCATTAAGTTAGTCTGTTTCTCTTGGATAACACCTTTTTTTATTATAGCCACAAATATTTTTCTAACATCCAGAGTGAAGTTATGCAGCCCATATATTACCAGACTTTTTTGTGTGAACTGGGTTATTGTTAAACTTGCTTGTTTCCCAGCACAAACCACCATTAACGGCATAGTTGCATATATAACAATAATCATTTATGTCTTTCAAGGTGTTTTTATAGTTTGGTCCTACATGTATCTCATTAAAATGTGTGTGAATTCTTTGGACAACAGGGCAAAATTCATGCAAACATGTGTGCCACATTTAACCTCCTTACTCATTTTTCTTGTCACTATACTTTTCGATGTGATGAATATGCGATTTGGATCAAAGGATTTACCTCAAACCTTTCAAAACTTTGTTGCAATAGAATTTCTGGTCATACCTCCTCTTATGAATCCTTTGATTTATGGTTTCAAATTGACCAAAATTCGGAACAGAATTCTGGGTGTTATTACTTTTAAAATTAAATGATTTTTCTCTTACAAGGTAGGGTAAGTCTAATATTCCTTCAAAAATGCATTTACTTTAAATATTTATTGCACAATTATTATCAAACCTTCTCTTAGTCTGCCTTTATGCCAGATTTTATTAGACTGTGTGTTTTCTTTTGAATTTGTATTATTATTCTTTATTCTTCTCCATCTTTTATGCAAAAACAAATGCCATATTTCTTGCATTGTATATGAACTCCTGTATTCTGAAGTTTGAATTATATTACATTAACATTTGCATTTCTGTGTGTGAATGTTCTTTATTCTCAACATTTAGGGTACTGAAATCACGTGTTATTCTTTACTCTGTACTCTGTAATGGTACTGATAAATATTGATAATTTAAAATGTATGCTTTCTATTGGCTTTTTTATTATTTTATTTAATTATATACATTTTGCCAACGATCTAAGCAGTAAAGTGATTCATATTGTTGAACAGTTGTTTACATCTCAGATCATTTATGCTCTATGATGTCACAAAATGCACTCTGTGTGCTTCAGTGTCCCTTCACTGTTTGCTTGTATGAAATAAATGGAATGAATCTTAATCGCATTAAATGTTGTATTTTTTATGAACATTTCAATTTATCATAGATTTGGAATTAAAGAGCAAAATGAGGCAAAACTCATAAATGAAAGGTGTTTTTTCAGAGCGGCATGCATGTGCTCCTCTGTCAACTAAAACCACACAAACTGCACTTTTGGTTTTATTCTAGAGGCAACTAAGAACGAATGTGTCTGCTCCATAAAACGTGTCATGTCACTTGTCACTGATTATTAACCACCGTTTTCAATGCAATTCAATGTTATATCATGTGGCTGATGTAAATTATTTATAATGACTTATACGGAGTACAAACAATACTGTTGTGGTTGGCACACACAATAAATTATGTTACTTTCTTAATTCAAAGAGCCCTCCTCATTCTTTTTTCTCTCCCTCTCTCCTGCAGTACTTCAGTAATTTCAACTGCAAATTTTAATGTAGAAATATATATTTTATAATTAAAATGAGGTTATACCCATTATGTGTTAAAACTTTACTTTATATGTTTTAAATAAAAGTCTTTTCATCCTCAGAGTACACTTGATCATGCCAATATCATTCCTGATTGTTGCCACCACATTTGCCTACTGATGAAGTTCCTGACTTAAAATGTGATATTATGTATACATCAAATCTGTGCAGGCTGCAGTACTTTATAAGAACTTCTTGAGCCTCCACGGGTTTCTGAGGATATCAACGGAGGGCAAAACCAATATCTGAACTTCCTGTGATGGTCAGTCCCTCCAGCAGACTCGGATTTGTCAGTCTGAGTCAGAACATTTTTGCCAGAAAACTCTGAAATTCCAAGTGAAACGTGAATCTAGAGAGGAAATAATTATTGTTCTCTTTAACTTCTTTACTTGACCTTGTGCTCGTGATATAGATGAAAGGCATTCCCTGCTGGCAAACTGGATCTGGATCTGGATAATTGTTATAACAAATACACTTTCAACTCCTAACTATAAGTAATAAGTGTTCAAAATTCCACTTTTCAAGTTCCTTCAGGTTTTTGTTAATTTCATGCACTGTATATGGTAAATTGACTGTACTTATATAGCACCTTTCTAGTCTTTCGACCACTCAATGCCACACACATTCGTACACTGATGGCGGTGTCTGCAATGAAATGTGCCAACTGCTCAACAGAACGGAAACTTATCATTCATACGCACTCATACACCGATGCTCATACACAGCATCAGGAGCAATTTGGGGTTCAGTGTCTTGTTCAAGGACACTTTAACATGTAGCGAGAGGAGCCGGGGTTTAAATCGCCAACCTTCCGATTAGTGGCCGACCCACTCTACATCTGAGCCACAGCCGCCCCAATGTATGCATGTACAATAGACTGCAACATGCTGAAACAGGAGGATTACTTGATTGGCTGGTTTGAATTCCCAGCTTGTGCGTTGATGTAGTCAGACAAGATATTAATAACAGTGTGGAGAGAGACCAGAGGCTGTTCGGAACTGAGGTTCCTTTCAAGTGAAGCATGACGGGTAATGTTTCTCAAATAACAATATTTTTTCTTTCTGGTTTAAATGAAACGAAGAGCCACAGGTTTACTCTCTTCTCTCTCACTTTACTGTATTATTGTATGATTTTGCTGGTAAATCTTTCTCTTATTGTGACCATCATCTTGGACAAACACCTGCATGAACCGATGTATATTCTATTGTGCACTTTTTGTATGAATGGACTTTATGGAACAACAGGTTTCTACCCCAAGTTTCTCTGGGATCTGCTCTCTCCTGTTCATGCTATCTCTTATTCTGCATGCCTTGTTCAGGCTCTAGTAATATACTCATTTGCCCTCGGTGATCTGTCTATCCTTTCAGTCATGGCATATGACAGATATGTGGCTATATGTCGACCTCTGGAGTATCACTCTATCATGTCAAAGCAAAGACTCATTAAGTTAGCGTGTTTCTCTTGGTTAACACCTTTCTGCATTATGGCCACAAATATTTTTCTCGCATCTAGGTTAAAGTTATGCAGCCCACATATTGCGAGACTTTTCTGTATGAACTGGATTATTGTTAAACTTGCTTGTTTTCCAGCTGAGACTATTATTAACAACATAGTTGCATACATTACAATAATCGTATATGTATTTCATGGTGTTTTTATAGTTTGGTCCTACATGTATCTCATTAAAATGTGTATGAATTCTATAGAAAACAGGGCAAAGTTTATGCAAACATGTGTGCCACATTTAACCTCCTTACTCGTTTTTCTTGTCACTATACTTTTTGATGTGATGAATACGCGATTTGGATCAAAAAATTTCACTCAAACCTTTCAAAACTTTATTGCAATAGAATTTCTCATCATACCTCCTCTTATGAATCCTCTCATTTATGGTTTCAAATTGACCAAAATTCGGAACAGAATTCTGGGTGTTATTACTTTCAAAATTAAATGATTTTTCTCTTAAGTGGTAGGGTAAGTCTAATATTCCTTCAAAAATGCCCTTAATTTAAATATCTATTGCACAACATCAAAGCTTTCCTTAGTCTGCCTTGAGAAAAATCTGAGAGAAAGCTAATTTTGGTTTTCTTTTGAATTGTTATTCTTTGTCCATCAGGCTAAAAATGCTAAATCAAATGCTTAATTTAGTAGTAGTAGTAGTAGTAGTAGTAGTAATACTTATGAACTGTTGTACTTTAAACATGAACTTTGCAGAAGGCATATCTTTGCATTTTTACAATTTTGTCTTCGATGGTGGAGGAACTCCAATATTCCTTAGAAAAACAATCACATTAAATATTGCCCTTTTCATTAATATGTCTTTGGAAAAGTTGAACAGAAAGATTCTTTATTCTTCTCCATATTTTATGCTAAAACAAATGCCATATTTTTTGTATTGTATTTGAACTCTTGTACTTTGAAATATGAACTTTGAAGATTGCATATTTTTTGCATTTTGCAAAAACAGCTTTTTTTTTAACCTAATGGTCACACCAATGGTCATTTTTAATTATTTGTCTACATAACCCAGTTGTTTGCATTAAATATCTTTTGCACCTTTCTTTGAATTAATGTTGGATGGTCAGTCTTATTGCATTTAAGAAATTAAAATGAAAGTGAATGTAAATAAAAAACCTGACATTTCTCATTGTCTTCTTTACCATACTGGTTTGTCCAAATCAGCAGGATAGTCACAGGAAGGACTGTTTCCTCTGTTAATCATTAAATTGTCTTGTTTAAATGTGCTGTCTCACTAGAAGAGAGTGTTTTCCATCATGAAATTGCAGTTGATTGAAGACATACATGTAATCTACTATTTTACAGAACAGTCATGCAAACATATATTTATATATTATATATTTATATACTCCCAAGTTTTAACAATGTTTTTGTATTTAACATTTAAAAAAAAAAAGAAAATGCCTTGTTACATGCTTTGCTTGCTTTAATGAGAACTGGTTCAATTCAACTTATAGTCTGCCATGTCTCTATGATCCACAAATCTGACACAGTGATCATCACGAAAGCAAAAGCATTGTGTACAGTAGTCTGATCACATCATTGGATTCCTTTTCAAATGAATCTCACTCAAATGAGGCCTACTTGAATTAAGTAGGAGGCAACAACAATAGGCATTATTATAAGCAACTTACAGTATGTCTTACTTGTTTGAAATACATATCTTTACTTGTTGGCATGTGATTTTGTCTCTCTCAGGTTATGGATGTAAAATATAAAATTCATACCTATTATAAACTAACATCCCACCATTCAAGAATTGCCCCTTTAATGTGGTGGAGGGGTTTGGCAGGGTGAGGCAAATGAGTCTAATGCAAGGGGTTAGACCAGGAACAGCTCCAAAATCCAAATAAAATAGAACAAATTATGACTAAATATTAAGTTCTAAAGAATAATAAATAGTATTCAACTGAAATATTGTGTTTGACTCAGATAAATAGCATCAATATTTCTGTAAATTAAAATAATATGAAGTTGACACTTGTCCATGGAATATGGTGCAATCAACATGGGTGCTTTGTTTAGCTCTGGTGAACACTGCTCACTGGCATGACACAATATTTGAGTCTATAGGCAATCTTGTATTGAATAAAAAAGGGTTCATAACTGTTTTACTAGTACTCATCCATAGCTATGAAAGTGGCATTTACAGACTACTTGCAGGGTAAAGAAATGTATGTATTCATGTTGTAATGTTGCCGAAGCTATTTGTAAAAAAAGATTTTCTTTAAAAAAAAAAAAAATCTCAATCAAAGGCCACTAATGCACCATTTCAGTTGGGTTGTGCTCAGGCGATTACAAAGTCCATTGTCTAGGCATATATTATTCTATATATTTTGTAGGGCTATTTATGCCTTTAATGGATAGTGATAGCCAGAGAGTGACAAGAATCGGAGTGGAACCCACAGTTGCTGCAGCGAGGACCCAGCCTTGGTACATGGGGGACCAGCTCTACCAGGAAGAGTTACTGGGGCGCCCACTGCTGTCTGTTTCTTACTCCAGTAAAAAAAAAACATGTCCCTTCATGGTCCATCGCCTGACATTAACACATCTGCTAGCTTTATCCTGTTGTTCACCTGGCCTTGGGCTGTGTCTGGCGCTTAGTGATAATAATAAAATGATCAAAAGAAGGATGAAAAATGATTGGTGGAGAAATCCATTTTCCAAATGCCTTCTTGTTTTATTGTTGTTTCTGTACAGTGCAACTGTAGATTGCAACTAGGTGATACAAGATGAAAGCTCTTCTAGACTGTTGATTGGTTGGTTTGAATTCCCAGATCGTGCGCTGCTGTATGCAGACAAGATATTAATGACAGCAAGATGGGGTAACAGACACTTAAGCACGGACTACATGACACAGGGATAAAAATAAAAGGTTTTCTAACCATGATGGATAATATATCTGTCATAAGAATGTTTTTCCTTTCTGGTTTAAATGAAACTATGAACTACCGAATTGCTCTCTTCTGTCTCACTTTGCTGTGTTACTGTTTTATTTTGCTGGTAAATCTTTCTCTTATTGTGACCATTATCTTGGACAAACACCTGCATGAACCGATGTATATTCTATTGTGCACTTTTTGTATGAATGGACTTTTTGGGGCAACAGGTTTCTACCCCAAGTTTCTCTGGGATCTGCTCTCTCCTGTTCATGTTATCTCTTATTCTGGATGCCTTCTCCAGGCTCTAGTGATATACTCATATGCCTGCAGTGATCTGTCTATTCTTGCAGTCATGGCATATGACAGATATGTGGCTATATGTCGACCTCTGGAGTATCACTCGGTCATGTCAAAGCAGAGACTCATTAAGTTAGTGTGTTACTCCTGGTTTACACCTTTCTGCATTATAGCCATAAATATTTTTCTAACATCTAGAGTAAAGTTATGTAGCCCACATATTGCCAAGCTCTTTTGTGTGAACTGGATTATTGTTAAACTTGCTTGTTTTCCAGCTGAGACTATTATTAACAACATAGTTGCATACATTACAATAATCATATATGTATTTCATGGTGTTTTTATAGTTTGGTCCTACGTGTATCTCATTAAAACGTGTGTGAATTCTATGGACAACAGGGCAAAGTTCATGCAAACATGTGTGCCACATTTAACCTCCTTATTCAGTTTTCTTCTAACTATACTTCTTGATATCATGCTTATACGATATGGTTCAAAAGATTTCCCTCAAACCCTTCAAAACTTTATTGCAATAGAATTTCTTATCATACCTCCTATTGTGAATCCTTTGATTTATGGGTTTAAATTGTCTGGAATTCGAAACAGAATTCTGTGTTTTGTTAATATTAAATTAAAATAATATATGTATAAACTTCACTCCTACAAATTAAAGAAATTGTGTCTTTACTTTACACTTGATGTTGGTAAAATCCTGAGTGTATATTTAGAATTTGATTTCAACCTAAAGATTACATATGCTTAAATTAAAATGTGTGTTCTCTCTTGGAAATGTTAAGTGCTAAGCTGAATGCCTGTTTTGGGATTTATGTGTTAGGCTTCTGTTAAAAGAAAAAAAAGAAACGTGCAGAATACAATGCAGTGGTAGCATCTAGTATGTATTTGCTTTTTCATTATTCTCTGTCTCGGTTTTTATCTCTTATATGTTTTGTAAAACATGGACTTTTCTGTGTCAGTAATAAAGTTCAAAGTCAAAATAAAAAGAAAGATGCAGGTAAAGCAATAACGAAAAGCTTATGCTGTGAAATATCTGCATCATATTGTAAATAAACTGAAAGCTTTGTTGCCTTTTATTTTGTACCAGAATTTGTAGGCATGGTCTTATCACATCATTGCCTTTTTTTGTTTCATTGTCAGTGGTGGAGGAAAGTTTTCAGATCTTTAAGTAAAAGCATTAATACAGCACTGTAAAAATACTCTGGTACAAGTAAAAGTACTGCATTTTGAGTGTTACCTAAGTCAAGTATAATCAGGAAAATGTACTTAAAGTATTAAAAGTAAACGTATTCAATGCAGAAAAATCCCCTGTGACTATTATACGATGATATATAATTATTTCATTATGACTCAAGCATTAATGGAAATGCAGGATTTTACTCTTGTAGTTGGTTGAGGTGGAGCTAATTTTTAACTTCTTTCGGAAATTAATGTGAATACAAAACCTGAAATTTCTCATTGTCTTTGTTAACAATAGACTGATGCCAAAATAGAAAGAACAACTAAACATAATATAATATTCAACCTGTCAAATAAGATACAGATGGACTGGCAATCTAGAACAAAAATGTGAGGAGTTACCTATATCATTCATGGGCTGCATAACAAAAAAAAAAAAAAATGTATTCTCAATTTTCAAAGTAAACTCTTTAATGTTTCAGCTGAGAGAAGTTTGACCTTTATAAAAGAGATGACCTTTACCTAATTATTCACAGGGCGTGGTGGTGGCCATGAAGTTGTTTCTAACATGCCATTTGCAATCAGCAGAATTATGGCCAAGGGTTTCTACACTTTTGAGAGTCAAATATTTTAAGATGAGAGCTGAAATATTATGTTTTTCATAATTCATCTATTTCTTAATATAATACCTACCTTTTCACTGGTTTACAGCTTTTAAATTGAATATTGATCTTATGTTGAAAATTGACTCATTAGGGCATGGAAACACTCCTTTACTGGGGAATGTTGACTGTGTTGCACAATCCAGCATTATTGTGCTTTTATTTTTGAAGTGATACACAACAATGAAAGTGTGAATTGTGAAAAATACAAAAAATCAAATGTATTATGAATTAACCTCCTGCATATAAGAACTGCCACCTTAACGTGGTAGAACGGTGTGTGCACTCCAAACCACTGGAGCTGTGTTATTGGGGGCAATAGCTATTGGCAGGGTCGCACAAGTCAAATTCTTCCTGGACGTGGGGTTAGACTAGGAACAATTCCCAAATCCTCCTCACGTATCCCAAAATAGAGAGCTCAAGGCCTTTCTCCTGGAACTAAGCTTGCAAGAGAAGCTCTGTAATGGCCGGGGCTACACCAATGGGGCCCGGATTCGGCCTGAAGTGATGACATGGGGCCTCTGCCTTATGGCCCACCACTTGCATGGCTGCACTCAAGGATCGTGTGCGTTGCAAGCAAACACAGATGCCATAACTCACTAACAATAACTTACAATGGCTGGTAAACTGAAAACATTTACTGGACATTAAACTGCAACATGGATTATTTGACTAAAAACAACTACCGCTTGTTCTCAGCCTTTCTGAACCTTTTAAGCTTCATATTTTAGCCAGGATCTCGGGGTTCCTATATCATTCGGACACCATTTCTCACAAAAATGCAGACCTCTGTGACTTCTCTCTTTGGCTTCATGTTTTCTTTTTGGTAGCTTAACACCGGAGATGTGTCACCACGTCTCATATAACATGTAACACAGCTGTTCCTTATACCAATCACACACACATACATTGTGTAGAAAGCACCATACAGTACAAAGCTGCTTTGATTTGATTTGCTGACGTCACGATTGGTACAGAGGACATTGAGGGTTTCATTAGTCTTTGCACATAAACAAACACAGTGATGTAAACCTGGTCTTACAATGTGATCCCTGTTCATTTTTCCACCAAACTCTAAATTTCCCTGCATTTGGGCACAACCCTTTGGACCATGCATAACAAACACCTTGTTTTAGCGTAAAGTGGTAGGTACAGGGTGACCAGAGGGACTGCAGTTTCTGTGGTTGTGGACACAGAAACTTGGAACGTGGAAAGAGTTTGAGGAGACAGTAGAGAAGGACTGTAGGCTTCAAAGAGGCATTAGATGACTCGGTATGACTCTTTATTAGGTAGGGCTATTTTCAGCAGGGGAGGACCACTACTGACCCAGTCTAATGATATTTTCTGATGTTGGAAACAACACTTTTGGCAGTGAACAACAAAGATGATACGAAATGTATAGAAACTTAGCATTTTTTTAAGTACGGTGTTTATAATGGAAATCATAATGTTGCACTTTCTTGTAGTAATTGTCTATGAGAGAAACATACTAGCAGTGTTAAAAAAAAACAATTAGGGCATAAATTAAGAGTATATACCCACACCACTATACCACTGCTCACTAGAATGACAACATATTTGAGTCCAAGCTTGTACTGAATAAAGAAATAGATTATTATACTAGTAATCATCCATTACAATGAAGTGGCCTTAAGAGATTTGTAATTATGTATTTTTTTCAAAATACAAAAGGAAAAGAAGGTAAAAGTGTTGGTGGAGAATTCCCCTCTTATTGTTGTTAATTTTGTACAGTTCCTAAAGATAGATAGACAACTAGGTGATAAAAAATGAAAGCTTTTCTAGACTGTTGATTGGTTTGTTTGAATTCCCAGATCGTGCGCTGCTGTATTCAGACAACATATTAATGACAGCGAGATGAGGGAACATCCACTTAAGGACGGGGCTACTCACAGAGGTATACAGCTATACAGGATAAAAATAAAAGGTTTTCTAACCATGATGGATAATGTCTCTCTAATAAGAATGTTTTTCCTTTCTGGTTTAAATGAAACTATGAACTACCGAATTGCTCTCTTCTGTCTCACTTTGCTGTGTTACTGTTTTATTTTGCTGGTAAATCTTTCTCTTACTGTGACCATCATCTTGGACAAACACCTGCATGAACCGATGTATATTCTATTGTGCACTTTTTGTATGAATGGACTTTATGGGACAACAGGTTTCTACCCCAAGTTTCTCTGGGATCTGCTCTCTCCTGTTCATGTTATCTCTTATTCTGGATGCCTTGTTCAGGCTCTAGTGATATACTTATATGTCGGCAGTGATCTGTCAATTCTTGCAGTCATGGCATATGACAGATATGTGGCCATATGTCGACCTCTGGAGTATCACTCTGTCATGTCAAAGCAAAGACTCATTAAGTTAGCGTGTTTCTCTTGGTTAACACCTTTCTGCATTATAGCCATAAATATTTTTCTAACATCTAGAGTAAAGTTATGCAGCCCACATATTGCCAGGCTCTTTTGTGTGAACTGGGTTATTGTTAAACTTGCTTGTTTTCCAGCTGAGACTATTATTAACAACATAGTTGCATACATTACAATAATCATATATTTATTTCATGGTGTTTTTATAGTTTGGTCCTACGTGTATCTCATTAAAACGTGTGTGAATTCTATGGACAACAGGGCAAAGTTCATGCAAACATGTGTGCCACATTTAACCTCTTTATTCAGTTTTCTTCTAACTATACTTCTTGATATCATGCTTATACGATATGGTTCAAAAGATTTCCCTCAAACCCTTCAAAACTTTATTGCAATGGAATTTCTTATCATACCTCCTATTGTGAATCCTTTGATTTATGGGTTTAAATTGTCTGGAATTCGAAACAGAATTCTGTGTTTTGTTACTATTAAATTAAAATAATAAATGTATAAACTTCACTCCTACAAATTAAAGAAATTGTGTCTTTACTTTACACTTGATGTTGGTAAAACCCTGAGTGTATATTTTGAATTTGATTTCAACCTAAAGATTACATTTGATTAAATTAAAATGTGTGTTCACTCTTGGAAATGTTAAGTGCTAAGCTTAAAGCCTGTTTTGGGATTTATGTGTTAGGCTTCTGTTAAAAGAAAAAAAAGAAACGTGCAGAATACAATGCAGTGGTAGCATCTAGTATGTATTTGCTTTTTCATTATTCTCTGTCTCGGTTTTTATCTCTTATATGTTTTGTAAAACATGGACTTTTCTGTGTCAGTAATAAAGTTCAAAGTCAAAATAAAAAGAAAGATGCAGGTAAAGCAATAAAGAAAAGCTTATGCTGTGAAATATCTGCATCATATTGTAAATAAACTGAAAGCTTTGTTGCCTTTTATTTTGTACCAGAATTTGTAGTCATGGTCTTATCACATCATTGCCTTTTTTTGTTTCATTGTCAGTGGTGGAGGAAGTATTCAGATCTTTAAGTAAAAGCGTTAATACGGCACTGTAAAAATACTCTGGTACAAGTAAAAATACTGCATTTTGAGTGTTACTTAAATCAAGTATAATCAGGAAAATGTACTTCAAGTATGAAAAGTAAACATATTCAATGCAGAAAAACCCACTGTGACTATTATACGATGATATATTATATAATTATGTCATTATAACTAATGGAAATGCAGGATTTTACTGTTGTACTTGGTTGAGGTGGAGCTCATTTTTAACTATTCTGTATAGGACTGCAACTACTGACTATTTTAATTAATATTTATATATATTATATATTAATATTAATATGCTGACTATTTTCTCAATTAATTGGCTGACTGTTTAGTTTGAAAAAATTCACTTGGTGAAAATAATGAGAAATGGCATCACAATTACAGAGAGCCCAAAGATACACCTTCACACTGCTTATTGTATCCAACCATCAGTCCAACACTCAAAATAATTTAATATTAATAAAAAACGATTAAAAGGAAAAGCAGCAAATCCTCACCTTTATGTAGCAGTGTTAAAAAAACAAAACAATTAGGGCATAAATTAAGAGTATATACCCACACCACTATACCACTGCTCACTAGAATGACAACATATTTGAATCTAAGCTTGTACTGAATAAACAAATAGATTATTGTATACTAGTAATCTTCCATGACTATGAAAGTTACCTAGTTATGTATTTCTTAATCTGTAAAGTTCTTAGTAACCAAAGCTGTCAAACAACTGTAGTAATGTAAAAAGTATAATATTTGAAGTAGAA